ATGTTAAAACATAGAAGAGACAAAAAAAAAAAAAATGTATGCCTATGCATTTCTACTAAAGCTAGAAAAAAAACCCACATGTGTGTGTACATATGATTGGAAGGAACAAAAGAAATGATCAACAACATACACTTACTCCTAGAGACAGAAAAGTGTTATGGCACTCCCCTTAATATAAATAAATAAATAAATCTGATAAATTCAAATACCAATGTTTTTGTTGCTACTCTAATTTTTACAAATAATGGTGACTAACAGAGCTCTATTAACAATTCAGATATCATTACCAGACTTTGACAATACATAGCCTATACCCTTCCATAATTATATCAGCACTAGCACTGACAGCTTCCAAATCATGACAGACCTGCAGCAACCTCTGATTATTATTATTATTATTATTATTATTATTATTATTATTTTACTCACTGCAGTCAGAATCACTCATGAATTACCTGTTTCTGCTTTTTACAGTATCTAAATCTTAATAGGCTTCTAAACAAGGCATAAAAGATAAGATAAGCAATGAAATGAGTCTGGATTAATGATATGAAAATGAAAAACATGTAAGTAGGGACAACTCCACACTGAAATAGCTTTCTATTGTCCCCAGTCCTGCTGGGAGAAGCCCTATATCAGAGAGGTATCGTATTTTCTTCTATCACTTCTCATCATTATAAATAAATAAAATAAATTATTTTTGATGTAGTTACTTTGATCCTATTTGATTTCTAGTCATTTCAAAGGAGCCATTCTTTTCACCATAAATATTGCTAATAAATGACAACTACATACAACATTTGCTAAGATGCTTGCATCAAAGGAATTTAGCTTAAATTGACACTTTTCCCACCTGTTGTGTTAACTGAGCAATCTGTACTCAGGTGCTGGGCTTTGTAATCAAAGCAATTTGGAGCACCAGGTTGTTCTTTTTAGTTTTTTACTTTGTATATTCCACCACTTTTTTATTTTCTTTTTTCTTTTTCACCTCTCTCTTACTCCACGGCTATCAGCTTGCATCCAGCAATTCAAACATGACATATTAAGGCAAGAGAAAGTAAAATTTGCAGGCAGAACTTGCATCAGGCATCACCAACCCAAGCTGCAGGTCTCAAACGACCAAGTGGCACCCTTTGTCTATGAATTCTGACACTGCATAATATCAGCTTTTCAGTATCCCTTCTAGACTATTTAGGATTGAATTGCTTAGCTAAATTTACAGGGAATGGCCTGTCCATTGTTCCTCACCTGTTATATTAAACATCTAATAATGTATAAGAGAAAACGTGAAATGTCACTTTTCCCCCCAAAACACAAAGAAATTTAAAAACCCAAACACAAATTCTCTAGCACACAGACTAATTAGAAGCTGGTATTCAGGTCTGCCATGTGAACAAGTTTTTACCTATTTTACCTCAGTGTAAAAATAAATCCATACCAGCTTCTCTGGACCACCCAGTTTAAAGAAAAATGCACATTTTGCATAATAAATCTACTTCAAAGACAGAAAACTGTGATTTTCAAAGTACAGAACAGAACCTCATTCACTTGTTTCAAATACATTTCCTCCATACTGGTTAACATAAGCACAAAAGATTTTTTTTTTTAATTATTATTATTATTTTTTTTACCTTTAGGTAGCAGGAATTTGTGGCTAAAAACTATGACTTTGTTTCCATGTTCTGTCCAAATGTGAAAACTTCCCCTCCCCCACCCAAATAATGTAATTATACCTTAATGTTTCTCTTGTTACAAAGAACTGAAGCATTACATTGCCTTTTACCAGCCTCCTCGCTAGGACAGAATACAGAGGGATGTGTTTCTAGCTGCAGTAATTACCTTAATTTTGTAGGAACATAAGATTGCTGTGTAATCGGCTATTACTAATGCAATTACTCTGAAAAAATGACTCACAATGAGATGTGTCAGGGGTGCTTCTACATCAGCACAGATTGTAGTAATTTAATAATGAGTCACATTTGGTCTCTGAAGTGGATAATACTGAATGGCAAATATCCACACTCCAATGAAGATTTATGGAAGCATTATTTTGGGGGGGTATGCTTATAGGATATGCTACTGTTTTTTGCAAATTCACCATATACCTCTTCCTCTCCTTCACATGTTAGCAGTATTGCTGCAATTTTTACTACAGTAGACACTTCAACTGGGATCTGGGCCCCACTGTGTTAGGTCCGTGCTCAGGATCAGATATTCCTGACTCTTTCTAAAGGCCTAAGATCCTACTGAAGTAAAGGGAGAGACTTTGGATGGATTATGGACTGAGACCTAAATAACTGGCAGACTAAAGAAAAACAGTAAGGGGGCCTGCTATCCTGCTTTACAGAACAGACAAGAACTATAATTCAAGAAGGCCCTTTTCCCTAAATCACAGCCACAGAAATTCAGTGAATCTCTCTCAAGACCAGACAGGAAGTCTAGAGCAGAGCTAAGAAGAGAACTCAGGTCCCCGAAGTCTCCGTTTTGCTCCTTAGCCACAAACCATGCCCTTTCTGTAACACAGAGCTCTGTGCTGCGCAATGAATTAATAACATTTGTTAACTACTAGCACTTCTCAGAAGGCCTGTCTGACATAGCTTCATTAGTTACTGACTAGGATGGTAAAAAAGAACTCTAATGAGTAAACAGCAAAGTATGCTACAGCAGGTTGCCATGCTGCAATATTTGGGATGGAGACCATCTGTGTACAGGTACCCTCTTCATTGATTACAAGCAGCTCTGCAGAACGAAGTGACTTAATTGCTTTACTCCAGAAACAGAAATACAGACATGCGCCAAACATCAAGCATTTATACAATTCTCACTGCAATGGCTATTGTAATTCTTTTTTCCTTTTTTCCTTTTAATTCCTGCAACTAAAAAAATAAAAAATAAAGAAAAATCACCTAAAGACAGAGATCAAATGATGACACTATCCTAGTTCTATCACACAGTAAGCTATTGCTATTAGTGCAGTAAAATACAATGCAATTAATCTAACAATTTTAAGTGTGTACAAAGTTCATCACTTTCAGTAATATTCATTACTTGTTAAGTATGCATACAGATGCCCAGACCTGTCCAGGGTTAACCCAACAGGGCACCAGTGTTAGAAATTGCCAGATTCTGTAGACAAGGGAAGGGCTAAAAGTCAGCAGACCAACCTCAACCTGGGGCTAAACTAATAGGATAATAACAGAACAAATTTCTAGACGTAAAATGCTGAAAGTGCAGAGTCAGGAACTCCCTTTGTGTGAAAACTGAAAAGACAGTGAAAGGATATGTGCTGACTTAGTGGGGTCAATGGCAAGGATGAAACTATCAAATGAGGATGGAAAAAAAAATCATTAAAACTGGTAATAATGGTAAAAGAATAAAATGGTGGTGGGCTGTTTATTTGAGAGGGACTAAAATGGGTCCCTGCTGAAGAGATCTGTGCCTAATCAAAACAACGTGGAACAGCACAATAAAACTATTGTTCTGACCATATTCTTAAGACCCCAGTGCTATGAGAATCCTTGATGGGGGCTCCATTATCACTGAGGAGCTCCATTTAAGCTCAGGCCTTTGCTCCTTCCTGAAATACTTAACAGATACAACCCGGCCCAGCTATATACCATGGTGATGCTGGCTGACTGATTTAAATTCCTGGTATGACATTGCATTTACTTCATCACTATGGACTTGTTGGGCAACAAATAGGACCATAGGCTAATTTTGTTACAGTCACAAGAACTAGTCTGCTCTTTTTGATGAGGTACCATGCATATTGTTGGTGTGGTTTGTAGGCACACAGGGCTGGATCTCAAACATAGTCCCTTGCTGCTGCTGAGTCTTGTCTGTGTTCGGTTTAGTAGGGCCCATGGAACATCCATGTTACATTTCCCAAATGTGCCAGCAATTTCTTGTACATTTCACACATAAATCAAGAGATTCAAAACAGTACTTACTGTGCCACAGAAAGAGTCAGAGACTGAGGGCACCAGCAACATCAAATGACTTTGAACTGGCAGAACATTAAAAACTAAAACTAAACTAAAAAAATAAAAATCCTAGGTAGACCTACGTTACATAAGAAAACAAACAAAACAAATTCCCCTGAATTTCCTGTCTCATGTGGCTGAAAATTCTTTCATGATCTCAAAGTGATTAATTCAGGCCTGCACATTTAGCATTCTAATACCTCTGAGAAAGTGAATACAGTCTGCCTGCTTCTTGCCTCAGCATCTGTTCATGTTCAGTACTTAGGGGTTCTAAGAATGACATAGCAAGAAGTATTGTTTCTCTGGGTCCCAAAGCTGAGTAGTAGAAACCATAAGTATGAGATTCATACAAGGCAAATATAACACAATCTACTGGCTCTGCTTTTAAAAACCTCTTGAATATGCCAATGTACAAGAACCTAAACTCTTGTAGAACAGACATAACATATTGTCTCCAGGAAAAATGTTTTAATTATGCATTTCTTTCCATATATTTATGAGGTTCTATTTTTAAATTGTTCAGATTCCTGGCCCACACTATATCCAGAAGAGTATTCTGCCCCTTTCTCCTTGAATGGTTACGATAATTTATTTTCCATTCTAAATGTATGTGATTTGTACTCACATCTTTTATCTAAAATGGCTTCTATTCCTCTTTGATATTTATACACTGGATTTATTTATAAAGAGTCATCGTATCTCCTCTCTGCCTTCATTTGCCTAGATAAAGCAGAAAATCTCCTTTGTTTGTTTCTAAAGATAGATATTCCACACACACATATTGATCCCAGTTTTCAGAACTGCACCTGTTCCAAATTAACTTTTATCTTTCTTAAGCACAGATGACCAGAACTGTACTTGGTACTCCAAATGAAAACTTGACAGCATTTTATAAAATGACACAAATGTTTTCCTGTGTCTACTAAAATTTTCCAATATTCCCCACAAAAATAAAGGTTATTATTATTTATTTATTTTTAAATAGCATGAATTCTTACCTACTATTCTGGCAAGATTATTTTTAATAAATCAACATGACATGGAGAATATCTTTATTCTTTTCAGCACAAAAGTCAGAAATATTCAAGCAAATATTATTAACCTAGCATAAATACATCTAAAACCAAACAGCTTTATTTTTGATATAATCTGTCAAGTCATTTAGAAAACAATATGGCAGCAAATAGCTTACTCTTGCTGGAGAAAATAAAATTGAACAACAATGAGAATGAGAAGCAGAAAACATATCACAGAGAAGATATGAAAATTTTACACATTTTAGTTTTTATACATACTGAGTGTGTAGCATTTTAGATTTTAAACATACCAAAAATAAATAAACAAACAAAAGTTATTCAAAACTTTAAGGGAAACTGGATTGCAAAGCTAGGTTTCAGCAAATTTTAATTCTGTATAAAAGATTCATAAAATCTTTTCATAAGATTTCATAATCTTAAAAGATTCATAAAAGATTCTTTTGTCACATACTCTTGTACTTTAAGATAGGAGAAAAAAGGACGTCAAATTCCTACTTTTTATTAGACAGGCTCTATGTCTACTAAAGCTACTGTTGGAAAAAAGTTAGGAGGAGGGAGTAGGAAGTGAGGGAGGAGGAGGGAGAGTGGCACTAAGAAAAGGATGCTAGTATTGTTTTAGATGTTTTTTTCCAACAATGAACACCAAACCAATTGACAATGTTGCTCTCTTTTCCAAAAATAGTACATCAGCAGACAGGAGAAATAAGTTGCCAAAGCAGAGAAGATCCAAAGCCAAACACAGCAGATTTACCTACTACCACTGGAAATTAAATTGCTTCACCATTCACATAATAACCAAAATAAGACAGGAAATTTTTACTTAGTTTCTACTGGATGTCTACTCAAAAACATCCAAAGTCATTTTAAGTTAAACTGACTTTTAATTAGAGTCTAGGTAAAGACTGGGCCAATTCTTCAGAAAATCATAAGTACAGAGAAAATCTTTTTTAGTAGGAAATGTAGTAAGCTTTCTTTTGTATTAAGTTACTTGAAAAAATGTTGGATATTACATGGATTTCACTTACACCAGCATAACTCAGAAAGAATTCATGAGAAGTCAATGAAATTAGTCCTATGAAAGATCAAGGTAAGATCATTAAGCAGCAGCACTGTGGAGACTGACGATATATCCATATTAATACTCATTGGCTTTATAATACATGGAAAATTATTGAAAACCTTCAGTCTTGCAGGTTTTAATTACGCATGTAAAATCTGGGATAAACATCTCCCAAATTCCTCCATGATCATGCATTCACCTAGACAGTCAGAGTATCCTCGTTTTTCTGCCTCTTCAGCTTGCACCAGGAGACAAGTACATGTTGCTTTCACTTCTTCCCAAGATAGATATCTCAGTCTGACAGAGAAAAAATAATTTAGTATAAAATATATCCATTTTAAATACAGAAAATAATTTAAAAGACAAACTTCAAACTTCTTAACTAAGGTACTAACAGTAAATTCAGCCTACTGCTGGCAAAGAAAACAGCACCAAGTTCTTCAAGGATTCCCGAAACGGCATTTTACCACCCCTTCCTTTGAATAAACTAAACTACCAGTTGTTGACATTGTATTCGGCTACATTATTAACATTATTCTTTCTTTTATGCAATTCAAATAAAGGCATAATTTGGCATCATCTACCCCATCTATACATTATCCACAGCAGAAATTATTCAAATATTTTCAAAATTATTATTGTCTGAACACCACAAACATAATAACAACAATTTTCTTACTACTTCTTTGGGAAAGGTTTTGTTAGAAATGAACGGACTGGAGGGGATTATGAAGAGAATTAATTATGTGATCAACACAAAACTAACTTTTGTTTTTGAAGCAGAACTAATATGTAAGTCCTTGAAGTCTCCATACTACGTTCCTAAGGGATAGGAATAGTCTCCTCTTTATGTATTTATTTAATTAAGAGGGAAAAAGCTATGTGAAGGTAATTCCTTTTATACAAACCACCTGTCATTTTAGTCATTATTTCTTAGGTAAATATGATACTGGTTACATGACAAATTACTGAAGATAGACCAATGGGTTATGCATTACTATTTCCAACTATTCACCTGTCTTTCTCCAATTTTGGTATTATTTCCATTGCTGATGTTAAAACTGGGTTATTTCCTTCATTACTTCCTATGTCCATGTAGTTTAGTGCAGTCAGCTGTGGATTTTTATCTGGACTTTCTTCATAATTTTTGCAACCAATGCATTTACAAATAGAGGAACACATAATTTTAGCCTGTCAAATACAGAATATTTGTATAAAAATTATATAAAACTTAAATTAAACATACAACTGAAGAACGACTAGACCTATATCACAAGGGACTTATTCTAGATATACTGGTCTATATTCTCAGAGTGAGACTGTTGGTATCAATTTGAGGAAGCAAGTCAGTTCCCTCCAAGGATTCTCTGTGGAGAATAGTGATACTCCCTTGCTCTGTACACAGACATAGCACAGACTGCTCCCCTTCAATTTGTGGACTGAGCAATAAAGCTACCTGGATTGGCAGAAAACCTTGCCTGCATTCATGATATTATGAAGAGTCTTCCAAGCCTGGTGAGGCCTGAAGACTACCACCCATTCCTACTCTTTCATGTAGGATCTAATGAGGCTGCAACAAAGAGACTCCAAAATATCAAAAGGGACTTTATGTCCCTCAGAAAGATGTTAAAGGGATCAGGAGTACAAGTAATGTTCTCCTCCATCTTCCCATTTGGAGGCTGGGACCAAAGAAGAAGGAGATGAACAGACCAAGTGAACGATTGGCTGCATGGCTGGTGCCATGCTCAAGGTTTTGGGTTCTACAATCTCAGAGATACTTTTAAGCGACAGGGCAATGCTGTCACAGGATGGGGTGCACCTGACCAAGCGGGGCAAGAGTGTTCTGGTCAGCAAGCTGGCTGGCCTTTTAACTCATCAACTTCAGCTAGATTCAGTTCTCTGAAGTCAAAGACATGACAAGAATGAGACTGTGACCCCTATGTTCAAAAAATGTTATGATCAACAATTCAAAGAAAGAACCAGTTACAAAATAAAATCAATGTTAAAGTAATAATCAACAATAGGAAAATTCACCTGACTCACCTCAAAGCACTCACAATAATTCTTGAGACATCCTGAACGTCTGCAATTGCATCCTTTGTTATGGTGAGGTTTAACTTCTCCCAGTTTTGTTTGCCCAATCTTTGGTAGGAAAGCTTCTGGGTTTCTATCGAGACAGACCTGAAACAAAAAATGTTAAATTATGAGACATTCAAAGACATACTTTGAAACACTTGAAGAGTGTCGTGCAATATTTAATTACGAATTTCTCACTTTCTACTCATCCTTGGTGACGTGAAGAACATATATAAAAGAGTCTTCTACAGCATGTGAAAGCAGAAATTCAAAGATTCCAGAATATTAAGCTGACTGGGCTATATCACAGAAAGCAACTCAAATTGGTCAAATAATATCCTAAATGACCCATCTATTATTCACTTGGGGCTGGTTTTGTCTCGCTGCTGACCCTACTTTCACCAGAAATAAAAAGTTGCCAGTGAAAAATAGTGCACATATGGTCATGTACATCTCATGAGTATTAATGATACTTATTAATGTTCCAATACAAGAACATTCAATGAAATCAGCATTGGATACTCCATTGGAAATGTAGTTTTTTTCACATCCTAAGACCTCACAAATGCCGTGGACTACTAAAAGGCTGATTAAAGGGATTCTATACACTTTATGTCCAATATTTATGGATGACACAGAAGCTAGTATGCTTTCCTCAGGCACAGACAAGATCTCTTATTCTCTAACAGGATGCCATCTGCAACAGTGAAAGACAGTCATCAACGGACGTCAACAACCCCATCAGTACAACTACTGAAGAGCATTTGATTTGAAAACCAGTTGTTGCATGTTGATCCCAAAAACTGATGTAGCTTCCACTGGTCGAATGCAGCAAAGTAATAAATCTAATTAGATCAAATTCTTGTACCATCCAGAGATTATTTGAATGATACAAAAGAGCTCTGGAGAGTTGCATGCAAGAATAGCAAAGCCATTAATATATCCTAATTTTAAAGTATCAGCAGTAGAATAAGACCTTTCATTTTCACTCTAAACTTTACAAAACATAACAGACATATATACGTCTAAGATTAAATTATTGCCCAGATTTTGAAGTTTGAAACACAAACAAAAATCAGCCCCCATAGTACTCTATCTTTCATTAATAAATCAACCAGAAAGACTGGTACAGACAATTGCAGAAGATCTGTCAATGAGAATAATAATGTGGATAATGATAAATTGTTTTCCTTTAAATACCTCTAATTTGGGGACACAATAAATTTTCCTTTAAGTGAAAACATTTCTGAAATTAAACTTGGGGTTCCATACTTCCTTCCAAGAATGAAAATTATCATTCAGTTATCATACCACCAGTTTTAATCCAAAGTATCAGAAGTTCTATAAAAGGAAATTAAATATGTATATATAGGTATTTATTTATGTAAGAAAAATATAGAGACACCACAGTGTTATTTAATATAAAAATAACATTTCAAGGAATTTTACTGGAGAAAAAACAATACTTCTGTATTTTTCATACGTATTTTTCACAAAGATGATACTGGTCTGTATTATTTTTTTTTTACCTTAATGGCTTTAAATCGTTCAGTTTCATGAAGTGGATTGTTGTAACAATTATTGCAGTTGCAATTGCAGCAAAAATCACCATTGGCAAAGCAATCACAATATCTGTGATTAACATATAAGGCAAAATAAGAAATGAAAAGATTAACTGCTTTTAAATGTTATACTATTTCAAGACAGAATTTATAGTTTCTACTCATGAAAAATGTCCCCTTCCTCAGTCATTTAATCATACCCAAACCCATACAAAATCCTTCTCTCTTTCATTGAATTTTATGTTTTGTAAAACAAGCCCACTCCACAAATGAATCAAATTGTAATCATTATGTACACGGCTCCATGCATCTTATTTAGGTAAATAATGTTTATGCATGTAAACATAATAATACTGTGTGCATAATATTTATGCATATATTATTATGCATAGCAGCCAGATAGATACTTCACTACACAGCAATTACATTCCATAAATTATTTTCTGGATACACATTGATCAATACCTTCTAGCTTCTTATTGTATTTTCCGTATTTTTTATTATATTCAGTCATCCAAAACTCTGCACTACATTCTGAGCTTGTGTGAACATTAGTTTACATAAACTGTTGATCTTGGAATAAATGGAATACATTTATTGTATGTTTGTCCTTTCATATATACACTGCTACTAGCATTTATGAAATGTTGATAAACTATTACTTACAATTTAAGACACTGAGATTTTGTGCAGTTACATGGTTTCTTAGACTTTGTAAACCCTGAATGACAAGGTAGGCTACACAGGTTGAAAAAGGAAAAAAATTAGAAAAAAACAAACAAATACAGCTACTATGAAATTTAGTCTATACATTTAAAACAATAAAAACCTGTGTTTTTGTTTTGTTTTGTTTGTTTTGTCTTTTTTCCTTCAGCACTATTCGAGCTACTTAACAAATGTAGAGTCACAGAGCAGGTGACAAAAAGAGAAGACTAAATAACCTGTAATCTCCTGCTACCCACCAGCTGTCTCTACCTGGGGCAAATCAGCCCCCAGTCACAGAATCCAGTGATAGCTGAGCAACTACAAAGCATTATCACCTCTCACCTTGGGGTTGCATCTGCTTTGTATTTAACAATGATCTCCAATTAAATATTATTAAAAGAATTCCATTAGTGTTAGAAATATGGGCAAAGCACATTACTTACATTTGGAAACATATTCACTAATTCAGAAAATTAAATGTTTTTCAGACACATGGACACCACAACTGCATTGATCCTAAGAAACCCTGGAAGCATGCTAGACAGCCTTGACCACCACCAACAGGCTTCATGACCACTGAGATATACACAGAAAGCATTTGTACAGAACTGCATTTGTATTACAATAGAGAAGCAGCCATGTAACACAAAGATGTCTAGGAGTCATTTCCAGTATAAAATGCAGAAGTCATCATGGACTAAATGTTTCACTCATCTTACCCAGCTGAAGGCACTTTCACTTGCAGGTTTGATTCTGGCTGGAATGTGGCAGTGCTAGCTGCCGATTGTAAGGATCCATGTTCAAACTGTTTAAGATAAAATTCATGTAACTAGTTTATGTTAAGTTTTTAAAAAGACTCTCATGAGTTAGAAGAGATAAAGTAACACTGAGAAAACGCTCCAAGGATGCTTTGTTTGCCATGAATAGTGATAAAACTCATAGAAGTTTAAAACCATTAAAACTGCACGCATGTCCTCTGTGAAACTGCTCGGTATGTCAGGATCCCCATTTCCCCTGGCATGAAGTACCAAGAACAGCTTTCAGTGCTGCAGTATTAGCGTACTGTTTTCAACATACTGATAATTCTAGGTTCAGTTGCTTTTATTTCCAGTAGTCAACTGAAACTGGCTAGTGACTTGATAATTTACATTATGTTCATCTACCATATGACATCTAATTGGTTGAAGACTAAGCAAATTTTTAAAAAAGAATTAGATCAGAGGCCAACAAAACAGACTGCAGATCTGTTGTCTCTTCAGATATGCGATTAATAACAGCCTGGTTATGGAGAGAGAAGGGAAGAACAAATAGGATTATGCTGTTAATACACGTAAAATGAGGGGCTGTGAGTAACTGTAAATCATGGTTATTTTAATTGGTGATTAATCTAGCTGGCCATAAGGAAGAGGAAAATTAATATATTTAAAGCAAGAGAAGAAATTTAGGGAACAACAGACTGAGGATAAAATTAAAGAGAAAAGAATAGTTGTCCAGCCTATATCACTATGCCAGAATGTTTAGGCACAAATTTGATGATATACTACTTCTAGTGCTGAGAAACTCTATAGTTGATTGTTCCCTCTAGCCCTTGGGTTTTCAGTTCCCTCCTTTATGACAGTGATTGCTATTCACAACCCATCTGCTGTGCTTGTACTGACATCACGTATTCATTTCACATAAATCAGAAGTTAACAGGTAAAAATTTGCAGTGATTTTTACTAACAGCTCTGTTGGAAATAACACACTAGAAATCAAACTTCTGCAAAGATTTCTGGTCTTCTGTTCAGTTTTCATTTTTAAAAATAAATTGAAATGCTTTTCTACCACTTACTCCGTCAGCAGAAAAGAAACATGAAAGAATTATGATTTAATCAGATGTAATGACTACTAAATCCTAATCATGAGGAGAATGTAAAGAATTTTACTGGAAGAAAACAGTCCCCTTCTTCTGTAAAAGCCAATATGCCTTCCTACTCCCTCCCCCCAAAAGAGTTGAAAACTATTTTTAATTTTGGTATTATTTCCAGAAAATTCTGAAACTGGGATAAGAGGCAATGGGCACAAACTGAAAAACAGGGAAGTTCCATCTGAACACGAGAAAACACTTCTTTACTGTGAGGACAACAGAACACTGGAACAGATTGCCCAGAGAGGCTGTCGGGTCTCCTTCTCTGGAGATATTCAAAACCTGCCTGGATGCCATCCTGCACAACGTGCTGTGGGTCACCCTGCTTGGCATGAGGGCTGGAGTAGATGATCTCCAGAAGTTTCCAACCTCAACCATTCTGCTATTCCATGATTCTGTGATACCTTTATTGTCCTGGTTTCAGTTAGGAAAGAGTTAATTTTCTTCCTAGTAGCTGGTAGGGTGCTATGTTTTGGCTTAGGATGAGAAGAGGGCTGATAATATGCTGATGTTTTAATTGTTGCAGAGCAGTGCTTACACCAAGCCAAGGACGTTTCAGCTTCTCACTCTGTCCTGCCAATGGGCAGGCTGGGGTTGCAGCAGGAGCTGGGAGGGGACAGACCCAGAGCAGCTGACCGAAACTGGCCAAAGGGGTATTCCATCCCATCTGACATCATGCTGAACAATATGTAGGGGTGGCTAGCCATGGGGGGGGAGCGGACTGCTTGGGGTTAGGCTGGGCATTGGTCAGCATGTGGTGAACAATTGCATTGTGCATCTCTTGTTTCATACACATTATTAGTAGTAGTACTATTATCATCATTATTGTTATTATTATTGTTGTTATTATTATTTTTCTGTCTTATTAAACTGTTTTTATCTCAACTGACAGGCTTCACTTTCCTGTTTCTCTCCCCCATCCCAGAGAGGGAGAGGGGAGGGTGAGAAAACCGCTGTGTGGTGTTTAGCTGCCGGCCGGGTTAAACCACAACAGAAATTGTATTGGATGCAAAACTAATCTGTCCAGACTAACTAAACTGTCTTTAGAAAATTCATAGTTGTTATTCCTGACATAGACATAATAACCCTTATTAAGGAAAGTAAAAAGAATGTATGCTGCTACTTGATAAATGCAAAGAAAAAAGCTTCTTTACCTCTTGCTCATTCAGATCCAGTTTGCCTGAAACAGGCAAATACTGCCCCAGTACAGCTGTTACAGAGTTGCCCACATCTGAAAAGAAGATATTTACCTGAAGACTGCAGAACTACTCCGTGTATACAGTTTATTTTTTGCATTTTTTTTTTTAATTAAGCATACCTGCAAATAGGTAGCTTGAACTTCTTATACTAATAAAGAAATATTACTTCCCTGACACTGTCTGTCTTCTTTCTGCACCTCCTGTTACGATCTACTTTAGAAACCAAACTTACTCTACAATTGTGTCAATGAATGGATGAATGAATTGTGGCCTAGAAGTTCTCTGTCCAGGAATGTTTTTTTTTTTTTTCATTGCAAAGAACAAGAATAAAAAGCTTATCACACACACACACAAAACAAAAGCAAAACCACCACCTCCAACAAAAAACTTAAAGAAGAATAAATCGCCAATTTGTAAGCTAGGAATTTGAGCACAGGTTGTTTTTACTCTATGACACCAAGAACATTAAAAAACAAATTGCATAATGGCATAGAGTTATAATATTTTGATAAGATAAAAATGGCTGAAACGTGTTTATGTGTGGTGCCTAATATTAAAAGGCTTTCTTTTCACATTGACATCAACATACAGCACTGTAATAAAGTTAATAAAATAATACATAATTATCAACAATTTAAATAAATAAAATGTCAGTGATAAATAATGAAAAAAGCCATGTTTATCTTTCTGAGGAAGCTATATTTTGGTAAAGAAATATTCTCTCAAGTGTTGTATTGCTTCTAAGATGAAAATGTATTACTCCACTAAACATCAGAATAGCTAAACCATTAACTTTAGGGCCTCAGAAAGCACCTTCCTTAAAAATGGATGGTAATTCAAGTTCACCAAATGATGCAAAAATCAGTGGGACATTTTAAATCCCAAAGCTAAAGTATACCTGAGAGCCCTCGAAGCTGCTCTTGTTTTATACAGAAACAGTGACACTTGGTGGCAAGCTATGGTAAATGCAAATGTATGCAAATATTTATGCTTGCATTGTATTCTACATATTCATTTCATCTTTCTTATTACATTGAAGTGCCTAGCATTTTTCAGTTATAAAATAATGTAATAACTTGTGATAGCTATGCTAACTGTGGCTCATCTCCCATTGTCACTGCGTAAGAACATAAACACATGCAGTTGCACATTAACCATGATGTGCTTGCTATCTGACGTGTTAGAGATAATTTTAACTTTCATTTTACCAGATTGAAGATAATTATGTTGGTCTTGATACTGGGGCAGTAGATAAACTGGTTTTAGTTCCTGTGTGGCACAGTTGTGTATGCAGAGTATTTGAGTACCTCCTTCCAACTGACAGATTACCTGGAATAAATAACTAATGATTAGCTTTTGTCTAAGAAACTTTAATTCTTAACATAAAGATATAAAGGTTTTCATAAGGGCAATGCATTTCATAAAGCTGCATAATCACAGACTGGAGTCTCTCAGACAAACTCATTATTATGCATTAAGTTTTTTGCTTTTTGACCCTTTCACTTTGTTTGGTTCTGGAAGCAGTTCTTGAGGTACCGTACTGTATCTCCTCAATCTAGTTGAGATGGACTCCTGGTTCTCTAAACTGTTGCATGGGGAGTGTTTTGCATGTTATGCATTTTTGTTGTTTTGTTTTGTTTTGTTTTTTACTCTAGTTTTCTACTATGCTGGTCTAAGATTTGGTTCCCTAACCAGAAAACACCACATTCTGTTTCAAGGTTTCATTTCACTTACTTAGAAGTGATTCCTTTGTGAGGTAGTTTTCATATGATCATATTTGCTTCTAGCAAGTATAGATAAGTAGAAAATAATATGTTATATACAAAATAGCCCTGTACTTGATAAAATTTAGACTGTGAGTCTGAGGAAGTCTTATTAGTCTTGACAAAGGGCTTATTAAGTAGGATTTTTTGGTGCATGTGTGGTATAAATAAGTTACGAATTTTCTTTAGCATACAATTCTGCTATCAGTTACAGAATACAATCACCACAGGGTTGGTATCATTTCTGTGTAAACATCTGGGTTCCTCCACTACACCTTGCAATGCTAATAACTTGCAGCCAGATTCGCCAACATTTGAACTCTGAAAAATTGTTCTGTCTTGGTAATTCTCAATAACATTTCTAACTGCCTCTCTTACCTCAGTCTGAAACATCAAGTATTACATCTTAATAGCCATGCTTTAAAATCTACTTTGAATTCCAAACAAATACAATAAATTTTAAAAAATAAATGCATACTTACTACTTCATCATAGGCAGAAGCATTAGTCTGAGGTAAGCCACAAATACCACTGGAAGATTCTAGTACATAAAATAAAGAATATTTTGTTTACTAAGAGATCAGTGTTTTTATACCAAGAGATCATTTATAGTGTTAATAAAGGCAGATTTTCATGTCACTATGGCATTACAGTCTTATGAAAGAATATTTAATATTCTCTTGTGACAGACTTGGGAAAAACAGACTTCAGTATGAGTTTGTTTGATGTCTCTAAAAGGTTTATTGTGCCCATCTGGTAAAATTCATTTAGCAATGACATTACGTTAGCAAGGCAGATGAATATGTCAGCTTCCATTGTAAAGACTGTATATTGCTAACATACAAAGGATGGCTGCGGGACTAAATGCATTATAAGGGACATTATATGCCAGAAAGAACAACTTGAGAACACTTGCTTTGCTAGATAGCATCTACATGGTAGTAGGCTGTCTGTTTAACACTGGCTGACATACAAGGCTTGGTACACAAAAAGGAAACTCAATCATTCTTTTGAGGGATACAAAAAACAAGATGGGCCATGAAGTATCACCCTGCAAATACAGAATATTTGTTAAATAAGTCTCCTCAATACCATTAGAGAGAGCAGACTACATTCCACATCAAAAAAGAAGGCAACTTTCTTCACTGCTCTTGGTCCACTCAGACTTCAGGAAAAACTACCCTTTCAGACCAAATCTAGCAGTCGGTTTAACCCTGAGCATGGTTGTGAACAGGCAGAATACACCAACTCAAGAGCTTACTATCATCAGCAGTATCAGTGCAAACCACAGTTTTAACACCTCTGGTCAGACTTCAAAGTGAAATAAAAACATTGTTCGAAAAAATCCAAAAGGGAAATTTTGTTGCAAGAAGGAATATTTTCTTCACACTCCCCTGAATGAATGGAGAAAGGGTACAGGAGCAAGGAAAAAAAAATCAAAAGTAAGACAACTACATGGTTGAAGCAACATGAACATACACAAAGAAATGGTGATCCTTTTCAAACCTTGTTTCCTTCCAAGCCTTCTTAGCTCTACTAATGTTTTCAGAAATGGCTCAATGTCTCATAATGCAATTTTCCAAATCTAGAAACTATGTTATTTAGCTATTTAAATGCTTTTCTAAGGTTACTGAGAAAAAAAAAATCCCACTCAGCCACTTGAGGAACTTACCATTTAAGCAATCTGGCAAGTTTTTTGACTGCATAGGGCTGGTTTGGATTCCCTTATATTGGTCATAACAAATACAGTTATTCTCACCTGCAACTGGAGGTATTAATGGTCTAAACGCCTGAAGAAAAGAATGTTTAATTTATAACTATTTTATATATTAAATGTCTCATTTTTAAAAAGCCAAACAAATAAACAAAAATGATTTATAGTGGCCTTCAAAATTAGAAATTATTTACATTTTCAAGATATAATTAAGCACATAAATGCTGCAAACAGCATTACCAGATACCACTGAAACATAAATATTATTTCTCCATTTTCTGTTCAATATGTAGTAATGGTTCAGATCTAATATACCTGTAACTATAATAGCACCATACCTATCATCTACTTTTGTATTTTCAATAATAAATGTGAGGCTACCTGTGCAGGAAACCTCTCATCACAGAACCTATTGCTTACATTACCCAGCCCTTTGCATTTCATAGTGGCATATCATCTGGAGATGCTCAAAGTCTACCATGATATTGACCTTACATGTTTTAGGTTTCTTTCTGATTTCAGGTTATGGTTTAAAAGGATCTCTGGCTTGGGAGTTCCTCTACACTCATGCTCAATATTATCAGTAGTTCTTTAATAATCAAAATAATAACAATCATCTTAAGTCTTTTGACCTTTTGATAAGATTCTAAATATGATTAGTCTGCATAAAGTACATGGATTTGGTCCTGTGAGCATCACAGAAAGTTTAATGATAGATAATACTTTATAGATAGTAACTGAAGCAACACAGATATTACCTTCAAAATACACAGAAAAACTTTGCCAAATGTAGAAAGTACACCACTTACAAAACTACTTTCTCTACAGAGATTTAACAATATAGACCACAATTTACTGTTGCAAATTAATTAATTGTTAGCTCATTTGGACCATACTTTTTAAGATGCCTACTGACTCACCTGTAGAACTAGAAATTAATACATTATTTGTAATTTGTACAACTACCTAATACTTGCTAATACCGATGGTAATATATAAAACAGCAGTCAGAACTGCATGTTCAATGCATGTTATTTATGGTAATACAAAACATAAATTTATTTCTGTATTTACTACGAATTTTGTTATAGCATAAAATTTATGATGTAACTTTAGACATAATGTGGATCTCATGTAAGTTTTAATGTGGTAGTTCCCCACATTTCAAGCACAAATAAGCACATACAAAATTCCTATTTCACTTAATCTTACTGGTACAGTTCTGACATTTTGATCGACTGTTCCTTCCGAAGAGAAAACGCTTGAATTTGGAACACTGCAATTTTTATGCTGTGTCATGACAGAAGAAAGAAAATGGACACCATCTGAAGGCAGATAAGGTGAACATGTATGTTCATCTTCTTCTGGAAGATTTAATTCCTTGTAATTTCCAAGATCTTCATTGCCACAGCTGTTGTTTCCATGTGGATATATTTCAACTTTTGCTATTGCATTCTGATTTTCCACAGTAGAAGGATACTTAAAGTGATCCAACAGAGTCTCTCCCGCATTTACAGTGCATAAATGATTGCCTTGAGTAGATGACAATCCTTCTTCAAATTGATTATTTATTACTGCAGTTTCCAGATTAAAATTTTCAGAAATAAGAGGAGTATTTTGACTAAATATGTCAGTTACAAGTCCACCATCTATAACTGATCTTATATCGAGCAATATCTGATTCTCCATAGTCATAGACAGACCATCAGCTCCTTCTCATTTATTTGAAGGTAATTACATTTTCTATTTCAGTGTTCTTCTGAACAGCTTTTGTATCTAGAAGTGAATGAAATAGACTAAGTACACACAATACTAAAGATTGATTCAATTAACATGAAACTGAAAAATATAACACTGCAAGTGGTCGTTAGGGTCCTGAATCTGCTTTTTAGAAAACACAGGCCACCACTCCAACGCAAACAGCTGCTTGTTACCATAAGAACATGCCCTTGTAACTTTTAAACACGTTAACAGCATTAAGCTGCCATCGCTCCTATTTCTGGATTCAGACCATACCAACGCGGGGAGGCTCAAGCGTTAGGACACTCCAGACAGGGACGGCTGAGGTCTCTCAGCCCCACATGCACCCAACACGACCCCCTCGGGGACACCCCCGGGGCAGGACTCGCCCCTCACTCCACCTGCAGGGCCGTGGGAGCCCCCTGCCCCTTCCCCAGGGACTTCAGCTCCCCGGGAGCCGCCGCCGCCCCCTCAGTGAGCGGGGCACACACGGCCTCCCCCGGCCGTTACCGGAGGCCGCGCACGCGCCATAACGCCCCGCCCGCGGGCAACTGCCGCTGGCTCTCCACACAGGGAAACCTCCCTCCCCTCACAGGGCGCCCAAGGCAGCTCGAAATGAAAAACAAGCCAAAACTATGAAGTATTTCCAGGCAGATGCCGAAAGAGTAAATCTTAGTTCACTACTGTTAGGCCAGCTGGTACCAAAACACAGCAGCTACATTACAATTTCCCACTGTGTCCTGAGAAATGCAGTAGTTACTCTCCCGCTGTACAAATTCTGACCCAGCAACTGCATTTCCTTCCACTATACACTGCATAAACATTAGAGATTGCTTTTCTTTACCTCTTAAAGACAAATAAGTTGTTAAATATGGGGGAACAGCAAAGGCTGTCACTTTAATTGGTGGCAGTTCTATTTGCATTTCAACTCTTGTTTCAGGGGTCGTCCTTCAATGTGGAGCTGGAGGCTCTCAGATGGGAGTTGCTCTCCCTCCCCTCTTGGAAATTATCTCACATTACAAGAAGTCAGAGTCCCAAAGCCCTGGTACTAGATAAGCTATTGTTTGTTATAGCCAAAAGGTATAATTTGTTATGCAGAAGACTGCTACTGATCAGTGGTGAGACCACACCTGGAATACTGGGTCTAGTTCTGGGCTGCCCCATACAAGAGCTACAATTGAGCTACTGGAGAGTGCCTGAAGAACAGCCACAAGTGATGGAGGGAGTGGAGCATCCCTCCTAGAGGGGAGACTGAGAGCTGGGTCTGTTCAGCCTGAAGAGAGCTTGGAGGATTTTACCAGCATCTGAGGGATGGTGCAGAGGTCAGAACCAGGCTCTTTTCAGTAGTGCCCAATGCAAGGACAAGAAGCAATGGGTCCAAACTGGAACATGAGGGGTTCTCTCTAAACATCAGGAAGTCCTTCTGTGCTGTGCATGGAGCCCTGCCACAGGCTGCTCAGAGGCTGTGTGGGGTCTCCACTTTGGAGATCTTCAAAACCTACCTGGACATGGTCCTCAGCAACCTGTTCTGGGTGACTCTGCTTGAGTAGGGGTGGGACCAGATGGGCCCAGAGGCCCCATCCCACCTCAGCTATCCTGTGATTGTGTGATTCTGAAATAGCTGGCTTCCAACTTCTGCTCCTAAAGCCCTTTCTACAACTCACTACTCTACTGGATTATTATTAACTGTAAAGCAAAAACCAGTGCTGTTTACTGGCTTGCAGACAGTTTCACAGAAACTTTCCAGCAGCTATTTGTACCTCATAAAAAAAATCTGGACTAAAAACTTATGTTGTTTCTTTCTACTGACCCTGAAAAATTGTTCAATACCCAGCAAAATATCTACAGAACTTCTAAAACATCCCTGTAACTACTAAAATACGCTGAGTAGTCTCCTACTACCATTCCTAACTGGATTTAACAGCAATTATTTCACAAGCCCAAAAAGGGGAGCAAGGGAGCCAGCAAAAAAAAAATACAAAAGACACAAAAACATTTTACTAAGTAGTGGTAATTGTGAAACTTTATTTTTTGAAGTCACAGAAGAGGGTAGAACATTGACACAGTGTTGAATGTAAATAACCAACCACAATAGAGTAAGTGAACAAGATAAAAAAAAACAAAACAGCTTAATACATTTTATACAAGAAAGCAATTGGTACAAAGGCTGAATTAGAATCATGATTTTCAAGGTCAGGCACACACCTCTTTCGTCCTTCAGAAGCTCAACCCTTAAAAGAATATTCAGTTTGAGTGGTGTTAATTCTGGACAATGGTAGCCTCTAAATGAACCAAAGCTCTCCTACTCTGTTGCATTAAATAGCTGAATCAAGAAATTCTGAAAATGCATATTCAAGGTATTCAATCAATTCCACACTGCTATTTAATACACAGGTTAATTTATCATCATTCAACCTGACTTTTACTACCTAGTCAATCCTAACCTGAACTCTTATCACTAATCAAGAAGTGATTCACGGGATTCAAGGTTTAGTTATGGATGAATCATTTTTCCAAAACATTTTACTTCAACAATAAAGTACATTGTACTATAAAGTTCATTCAACTCTAAGTAATTTCAATTACATTCCTATGGCTTTAGAGCAAAGAAGCAAGTAAGTTTTACTGTATGTACACATATCAAACATCAAGATTTAAATTAATTATTTATTAATAGCCTACATTCACTGTGGATTGCTAAGATTTACATCCAAAACGCATATTTTATTTACACGCTGTTGACGTTTTTAAGGAATGAAATAAAATCCTATCTGTTTAGGAATTATGATCTATCCCAAATTAAAAAAAAAAAAAAAAAAAGATACATTTAACACCACTTTTAAACATTTACAATTACAAAAACAACTTTGTGCCAATTATGCTTACTCTAAGAATGTAAAATTGCATTGATAACTGCACTAACTATAATTAGACTTAAAACATTTAACACCTGAGAGTCAAATCTAAACTTTTTTTTTTTTTTTTTGGAAAACCTACAAGCTAATATGCCCTATGTTAATTTAAGTATGGATTGGTCAGTGGTCAATACAAAAACAGTGCATTATTTCTGCAGCTCCAAAGGAATATATCACTAATAACGTTGTTGCAGTAGTTTGATAAATGCCAGGCCTGTCAGCTGCAGTAAGGCTTATTTCAAAGTCTCCTTTCCCACACACTGTACCCAATCGAATAATGAGAGTCTTTGGCCAATTTCTATGGGGGGGTCCTTTATGTAAGCATATATTTGCTTAAGTATGCATACTGGATCTTTAAGGTTTCCTACCTCAAACATACACACAGAAGTGTTTTAATATCTAGAACATTGCAAAAAAAAAAAAAAAACCAAAAACAACAAAAAACAGGAAAAGGCGTATAAAGTTAGAAATACTGGCCAGAAAACATCCAAAAATCTAATGAGAAGTTTTGTATCATTCCCCAGAATGCTTTCAAAATTAGCACAGCTCTGGAGCAGCACTTACTGTATTACTAAACATCGTGTAGTTTACATTCCCAGAAAAATAAATTTGTTGCCCTACCACATACACTGCATTGCATGATCTAAAAAGTAGTGACACCAATAAAGCCTGTGGAAGAGAAGCATCACATACCAAGTTACTTCAGTTTTGTAGTAACCATTTTACTTCTGCACTTGGAAATATTATGCCCCCTTTTCAGTGAAATTGTCCACCCTACTTCCCTACCCTAATTGCTTGTATCCTCCAGAAACTGCTTGATCAAGGGCATCTTCCAGGAAAGATTTGATAAGGCTAGGATTTTCCCATTCTAGAGTTGATTTCTATTGCCTTCACAGCTTTTCTCATGTAGATAGCTGGCCATACATAGTATTGGTCCTTCCAGGCGGAAAGAAGGAAGACTGCAATTGCTCAACCTCTACAGGCAGCCTTGATTCCCAGACAATCCAAGAGGCTTGCATTTAAATAAATTTACAGTTCCCTGGGATTCAAACTTACCTCAGCTGAGCACCGACACTATTCAGCAAAAATAAGCTGATGAGTATCTGTAGCTCTGAAACAGTTACTCCTACATTTCATAGAGAATGATCTTTGCTATTTAAATATGAAATTATTTCATTAGAGCTTTGAACCTAGCTGCACCATACACAAAGATATTCAAGTCTACTTATGTCATACCCACCTAGTTATAATTTCAGAACTTGATATGCATTACTACTTCCCCTCACCCATCACTAAAATAATGTAAAACTGACTCCCAGCATAAGATTTTTTTCCTGGGTTTAGATTTTTTTTTTTTTTCTAAGGCACTGGCATGAACAAGCACACAGGTCCATTTATATGGAAACAAAAATCAACGATGTGGCAAACGTGCTTGTAAGTAGTAAGAAAAATGTGATACCTTCTAATTTACATAGTATTTTACTACTCACTGTAGCACATACTTTCCAAAAAAAAAAAAAAAGAAAAAAAATCCACTACACTAGTTGAGTGTGATGCACTGGTTTATATTACACTAGTGGGGTGTGATTCACTGTGTGTGCGTATATATATAAATATATATTTATTTATTTATTTATTTTTAACATTTTTAAGAAATTACTTTTAAGGAAGTCAATGAAGGTAAATAGCCACAAGTTTTGTCATTCATTGACATAAAGCAGCAGATACTTTGAAGAACATTCTACTATCAATATATACCAAATCAAACCTTTTGTAGGACTTGAGTTTAAGACTTGATATGTTTTATCCTTTCCATTCAGGAAGGGAAGTAGACTCAAATAATTATAAGAAAGGGAAAAAAAAAAAAAAAAAAAAAGAACAGGGGCATACAGAATAAGGGAAAACTGCAGGAGTTAGAATACACATACCTTCATGCAATAATGCTATACTTCATCCCTAGAAACATACAAGATTTCAAAAGACACCCTTTGTGGAAATAAATTCTTCCAAAATATTGGAAAAAAAAAATCATGAAACATTCAAGCCACTGCTAAGGTTTTCATCAATAAGATTGTGACTCAGCTTCTTCACCAGCTATTGTTTGACAAGCCTTGCTTTCATTCACTGTTCAGAAGAGTCCTCATTCCGACAACAGAAGGTTGCTTTGCACCAATACGGCAAATCACTTTGTACAGTTTTTACTGTGGTTAAATAAACCCATGATGTCAACCATTGCTTTTTGGATGTTCTTTCCAAAGCGATGAGAATCCTTAAAAACAAACAAACAAGAACTGTGAGTACAGTCAGGCAATGGTTGTCTTTTAAGCAAAAGAAGAAATTTTAACATTAAATTTTAGAACTTTGGGATATAAACCACAGAAATTCTAATGCTATATAAATTAATCCAGATATATGCTGTTACTAACTGATGAGTTCTTCATTATGTATTTGTTTCCATATGGAGAAGGGAGAATCTCCTTTTCAAAACATGTGCTTATAACTATGTATTACAACTTCAAAAAAAAGACAACTATTTTATACATGAAGATTTTGTAAAAGCTGATTTTTAGAAGACAGAAGAATGTTCAGAAAGTGTACTACACAACTTAGTAGTTGTGAAAAAGCATAAAAACATTTTTCAGTTGAGTTTCTACCAGAATCCTGAAACTATTACCACTGAAGAATTACATGAAGTATTGAAAATGAAAATTACATTTACTTAAGTGCAAACAAAGTCTTCATGCTGTCAGATGAATGGTACAAGGAAGAAACTAAAATTAAAAATATAAATCATTAGCTACATTATAAAACCTACTGCAGAGACAGCTTAGTATCAAGGCCAAGCACATGAAGTGCTGCTTTCCCTGTATGGACTTTTGCCTTGACTGATAAGTAAAATTACAGGGAAATCTAATGTATAAACTAAAAGTTGAAATTGTTTTTCAAGTGCCTATGTAAGAACAAAGTTGCATTTTCTAATATTTAATGATTAACTGAAGGCATTGAGATCTCTCGGACAAGTTAAGGTCAAAAGACAAAAACTAGTTCAGTTATGTGATCCTGCCAAAACTGAGCGTGTCATAAGACAAAGAGGAAGGATGAATCAAAGCTCACTCAATAAACGCTTCTGAATCAGCAGGATAGCGAACAGATGCGACATTCTAATAGATGGGTGTTACTCTGATAAATTATGATAATTATGTTTCCCAAGCACAGGTTACAATTTATGGGTCAACTTCCTTTCAGAACTACTTAGACCAAGCAAATTCAAAGAATGAAGAGCACACATTTCATTATCTTTACAACCGCAGTCAGAGGCAAATCAAACTGAAAATATAAAACAAAAACCAGGAGATTCCTATCTTACTGTTTATGGGACAGGTATGAGTCATTTCACATAAATTCCAGGAACTATACCTGCGTAAAGATGGCCTTCCTTATGCCTGAAAGCATAAGTGAAGTAGCATATAGTTTCCTTGATTCATAAAGCTATTAACTTTATAAAAGTTGAGAAAAAAATTAACATACAGCATATGTCATCCACAGAAACAGGTGTAACAGGCGTCAAAACCCACAGTGTAACAATATTGCAAGTCCTACTCATTGTCTAAAAAATTTAGTAGAACAGTTTTACAAGCAGATATTCATCAAATTCATTAAACCACAGGAAAGAATTGTCCCTTACTGTCTCAGAACAGGAGATTTTGCTGGAGACGTGGAAGTGGATAGAGTTTTCATCCAAGATAATGTAAGAAACACCATAACCATCATCAGCCACCTAAAGAAAGAAAGACAAAAACAAGTGCTATTTTTTTTCCTTCATTTTCTACACGATCTTATACATAGTTACACAAAACTCTCACTGTGCAGTTTTCAACATCAGTTGCAGTTTTTCCTGAAGCAAAAAATAAGCTTTAACATTTAATCCAGCGTTTCTGAAGACTGCTTCCACTTAAAGAAACAGCTCTGCTCTCATTTGAAGAGTGAAGAACATGGAATTAACTGAACTGTCATGTTCCCAACATTTTGAAGTTCCATATTTTGAAATATGCTAGTTGTTCAAAGAACTTCTATCAATGTCTGATCCTAAACAGCTATACAGCTTCAGTCCTTAAGTACAAACGAATATATATACACCTAAACATCCCGTTTCATGGAATCACTCTGCAGATGTAAAAAAAAAAAAAAAAAAAAGTATCTACATATGGAGCATAAGGCCTTTATATTACAAGAACTTGCCCAAAGGCAGTCATCTAACATGACAGCAGTTGTACAATTCTGAACACCCATATCATGAGTAGAGCCTCTGGTCAGATTTAAATATTAGCAGCATTACCTGTCCTAAGTTTCAGCCTGATGTTATACTACGTATACCTAGTAAACATGAAATATCCTGCTGCCACCCTCCTTCCTCTGTTTCCTAAATCATAGGGTCTTTCACCTCATCCTTCCAGCTCTTTGCTGCTGCTGAGCACTCTGAAAGCCTTCTCTCTATTAGAGCCTTCTCTCTTTAAATTTCTAAAAACACACTAGTTTCTTTAAAGGCTATGAAAGTTGTAGAAAGTTTGATTTTTTTTTTCTAAATCTAGCCACTATTCACATTTAGGAGGGCTAGCATACCAGTTTAATTAGCTTAATTTGGAAAAAAAGCATGAATATGTTTTTAATTAATCAGGAAATAATAAAAAAAGTGAAATTACTTCTACAAATGCCAACCTTAAAATCTAGTTTAAGTAATAAAGCATTTGTCTGTAATAATAGCCTGGCATAATCAATCTCTGGGCATAAGTGATGTGATAAAAGCCCCCAGCTTATCAGAACATGGAGCCCTGTACCGCATTTGGCAACTGTGCATTTCCTTAGGAATAATCCATTCCATAATCCCTTGGGACAAGGCAAAAAACATGATGTTTCCTCTAAGCACATCCACCATATATTGGAAAACATTAAACATATACATTTAAAAGTGCAGCACGTGCTTTTAATGCACAACACTACGGTATTACACCTCTGAATTTTTTAGTCTGAAACTGTTTTCAAAATAGACACTTGTACTTAGCAAACATACTGGTCCAAATCCTCCACCGCTGGAGAGCATCTCAGGGTTCTTCTTCAGATCTATGTGTTGCTGTGGTGTCTGACTTGTTGACAGCCTCCAAGGCTCCGACAACACCTTTGTTAGACAAGAAAGGGATGCAATCAAGTACAACATTCTGCTTAAGAACATGAAGCATGAACGTGAACATTAAGAACATACTGCTTAAGAACATAATCAAGGTAAGTTATTAAACATTCAATAAGCAATTATTAAAGATAACTCCAGTTCATGTTAATGGAACAATCAATCGGGTTAAAAGAAACAACTGAACCTATCCCGATATGCAGGCCATATATGAGGTCTTGATGTCAATTTCTCAAAAAATAGCATTTCTGCTGCAAGAAATGTTGTTTCAAAACAGATAAATCTGGTCTATAACCTGGTAAACCCTGCAGACCAGGTCTTGTCAATAAGACCAAGAATGGCAGCATTCAAATCCCAGTGAAATACTATGGTAAGTCATTAAGTTTGGAAAATCTCTAACAATATACAACAGTTTCTTGAAAGGTTGCAGAAGTTGTACAAGGCTGTTTAATTCTTAACTTAAAGCAGGAATACACTTATTTTCAAAACACGTACTTTTTTTTTAAAAAAAAAAAATAAAAATAAATCCCAACCTTAAAGCCTGGTTTAATAAAGTATTTGTCACTGTAATAAGCAGTGGGAAAAAATCATAATTAGTGATCTAGCTCACGTTAACTTATAACGAAGTTTTTTTGCCACAATTCCAGCAGAACATTCTTAAGAGAAAGGTTGTAATACCTTGAAAATATGCTAAGAGCCACAAGCAGCCAGTATTTTTTGTAATACATATTACATCTCTGTTGTAAACCTCTATAACCTGTATATAGCATTACTAAAATGCCCATTAGTAAGTGTAGATTTAAAGCAAAACGAAACCAAGTTGTAATCTACCAGTAAACGTTAAGCAGTGCTACCTAAACACTTACCTATTTTTCTGAGGAAAATTGTAATTACGTAAGTATGTAAGCAGATACCAGAAGACACTAAGTAAACACAGATTATTTACTGTTACCAATAGACACCAATAAAGATCACTTACTTCCTTAAGGAAAGGAGAATCTACAGAAAGGTACTTGGAAACAACATAGAGGCAGAACAGATGGCGGTCAATGCCAGCACCAGTCATGGCAAGACGATATAAGTGCTGATGTTTGGTAGCTGCAAGCCGGAAGAACTTAAGCTTATTTTCATTCTAAAAAATGAAATAAAGAAGAAGAAAATCAGGTAATGAACTGGATTGAGGGTGGAGGTACAATAACTAAGTTACAGCAATGGCTCCTGAGCCTAGAGCATTTAAGGACAAAGTACAAGACAAGACAGGCAACTAAGACCAAATACTAGAATTCACTCACTTTGCAACCTCACATATTTTATTTCAGTATTAGCTATTACCTGCTGTAAACAGTACAAAATGAAAACAAAACAATATTTTAAATGTGATATAACCACAGAAACAAACATGATTACAACTGTAGTTTATTACTTTGTATATTTAGAATCATAGAATCATAGAATATCCTGAGTTGGAAGGGACCCTTAAGGATCATCAAGTCCAACTCTTGACACCGCACAGGTCTACCCAAAAGTTCAGACCATGTGACTAAGTGCACAGTCCAATCTCTTCTTAAATTCAGACAGGAATTACCTTCTTAGCTACAGAAAAGCAAGTCTCAACATGACTTAAGCAGAAATTTCAACAGCTATTTTAGAAGGCTAACTGACAACAACATATGAACGTAATGCAGAGGCTGACAGAAATTATTAGTTCCAAGCTCATTTTTAGATAGCTATTTTAAGATTTTTATACTATGGAATGCAATACTGAAAACATGGCAACCTGTCACTTCTTATGTCCAGCATCACTGTATTTTATGCCACAAGCCATTCAACCCTCACCCCCCCCCCCTTCCCAGTAAAGTTCCTTAATGGGAATCAAGAGTTTAGGTTCCGAGTGATACCACAATTACCTGAAAACAATTAGCATAAACCTGTAGGTTGCTAGCAATAGGGTGGACATTATACATAGTTAGTAACTTCAAACTCAAAATAAATAAATAGTGTTTTCTTTTCATTTTAAAGGAATAGTTACATATTGAAGATCATCCAGGATCACTATTTTTATTCAAGGTCCACAGTAGCAATAATTGGCATTTCTTCAATTAATTTTCTAATGAAGTGGTATATGACCATGTAATTTTTGGCTCTTACCAATGTTGACAACGTATAACAGTCATTTCCAAATACTCACTTCTAAATATATACACATCATCTAATCAGAAAAAATAAAGTTAAACTACAATATAGTGTTTTCCTGCATGAACGTTTATTCACAGAATCACTGAGCTGGAAAGAACCAGAACTGTTCATCTACTTAGACTTCTTCTCTTCCCTAAGATCAGATCAACTAAAGCTCCTTCCTGAAGAACCATTATGTAACTTACTTTAAGAGAAAAAAAAAAAAAAAATCTGTTTGAGGCTTCTGACTATTTACTTTGCTACTCATTATCTATCCTTAGTAGCAGAAAATGTTTCCCTAATGTGTTTCGTGCCAAAATTTAAGTCCATTACCTCTTGGGAAAGAGAACATCATCTTTCCATCAGCTTTTTTTTTTTTCCCCCCACTTGAGGACAACCTGGCTTCCTACCTCTTCTCACTACACTAAGTTCACTTCTTTAGACTAGGCAAGAATAAAGAAGTTCAAGTTCTCCTCACAGATCCTGTTTGGATCTTAGTTACCTTTGTTATGACTCTCTCCAGTCCATCCATACCTCAAGTGTGGTGTCCAAAGCTGGGCATACCCTGCCAGCTAAGGCCATAGTAGGGGAAGGAAAAAATACAGGGGGAAAAAGGACTAATAAAAATAATAGGGCAAGACAAACTAAACTGAGTGCTGACACTTTCACAATGGTGTAACGCTGAGCGTGCTACATCAGTGCTGAGTTACTGATTATTATAGTCCTACATCTTTGTCATTAGAACCTCTACCCATGCAGATGGAAACTCCCTTTAGCTTAGAAAAACCTGCAAACGCAATGATTTATTTAGCCTACTCTACCAGTGAAAACCATGACTATCAGTAGAACGAAGAACAGACTGCCATCAAGATGACTATCCTCCACGCCAACTGTCCTGCATCCTTCCATTTTGACAGCAAACATCTTTAACAGCATTGCCCAAGTTTTCAAAACCAAGCAGCTTTCCTCTAGGCCATACGTCGTTTGTTTGCTCATCAGATCACAAGAAGGACTAAAAAGCCCACTGAAATCAAGATATGACAGCAACTACTTATTTCCTATGAATAATGTAAGCTTCCCTATCAGGGAGGAAAGCCTAACTGGCATGGCATTACTTGTACACATAACAAAAAGTCACAAATCATCTCAGTTTTCTGGAATTCAGGGTCTGTAGAAGTTGGTATTCTGGTGGTTACTGCCATTCACCTTTGGTATAGCCTTCAATTCCTGTCATACTAATGGAGGATGCAGACAATTATCTGATGCTACACTTCATTCCTCAAAACAAAGGCATAGATCTTTCCTTAAATCTTTTAAAACAATTCAGGAGCTTGTATGAATAAGTACCGATAGCCATGTGACTTATGAATTGTATTAGGAAACAACACAGTAAACTTACGCTTTCAGTTGGATCTTCCATGGTTCGAACAAAATTGCATGATTCAACAGTACATGAACGGACGGTTTCAGTCCTGCCTTCTCTGAACAAGCGCGTCATAGAGGCTTCATATGTCAAAGAAAATTTTCCCATGTCCTTCAAATTTGAAAAATAAGGACTTAAAGGTTTATTCGAACATAGCCCCTTTCTTAATCAACAGTAAGGTTCCAGGTAAGCCCACAGGATACGAATCACTCCACAAATTAAATGTTAAATTTTTAGTAGCCCACCGTTAACAGTCTTATCTACAGATGATTAAAAAAAACAAGATTAATAATGGGATTTGATAAATACTAGTTGAACAACCAAACCAGAAAGGACTAACAAGGACTACACCATGCATTTTATATCCAGTCTTTTTCAGTCTGTTATAAACAGAAACTAATTAAAAAAATACCAAAAACCTATAAGAATGTTCAGTGGCTTCCTAATTAATACAACTATGGTACATAATCCATAGAAGATTATGACATCCTAGAAGACTGTGACATTCTTAAGAATATTTTCAACCCAAAGTTTAATAGGATGTAGATGCATGGAAGCATGGGGATGGAAAGCATGTGAAAGAATGTGATTCAAGGATGTGAAAACTGAAAGTGAAAAAAAAAAAATAGTAAAAGCTTATCTAACGCATTAGCAACTCTTCCTGATCAAAATATACATCAGAACAGATCACAAGTCTGTTCAGCTTAAAATAAAGAGGATAGGTGGTTAAAAGAAAAAAAAAAGGGGGGAAGGAGGGAAAACAAATTAAAATTTCACTACATTGGCGCTTTCTGAAAACAGACTGCAGAAAAAGTGAGCTACAAGAAAAAGAAACAGGCAGGCACTTTTATTAATCTTCTTTGGGAATGCCCCTGACTACCCAATTAAAGGGAACTTCCAACTAAAAGATAAGTTTAATACCATTTAGATAATAACACTACTGGAAAACACACATGCTAGAATTTTCATATCTACAAAGTATCCAGAGATAGAACAACTAACGGGAAAAGAAAAAGCCGCATTAGCACCAATAAGCCAACCTTTGGACACTGAATTTCCAGCAAGTAATCTGTTTCGCATTTCTATTAACTTCCATGGAATGACCTTGCACAAGCAGTGCGAAGTTAAAGTACAGCGTACTTTACACAGCCACGTGTTTTAACCACAACAAACAGTTGTGTACTAATAGTACGCAAACATACTATTTCCAATTTAATGAGATTCTATAATCTAGACGACCATTCTTGACAGTTGGACTAGATGATCTTGGAGGTCATTTCTAACCTGAACGATTCTATGATTCTATAAGCCAGAAGCAGTCTGTTCTTACCCGATAGTGAGCAAGCTGCAGGGCAAGTTGAATGAAGGCATCAGGGCTAGTTTTTGCTTTCTTTATTAGTCCCTTCCCAAAAACGTCAAAATAAAATGAACAGAAGTCCACATCATCTGCCAGAGCCGTGGCAGTGCTCAGAGACCTCTCAATCACTTCTTGGCACTATAATAAAAAAAGACATTGTTTACTTATATGCAAATATATACATATGCATGCATTAGAAGGCATCTAAGAGTAATGTTGAAGAAGAGCATGCATTTTTAACTGACACATAAAAAATGTTGCCTTTCTGTGTGCCATGAACATCATTGTCTAATTACTCTTCCTTTGGAGAAGCTATCTTTGCCTCAAAGTTAAGATTCAAAGAGCTTTAAAAGAGTTTTAAGCCCATACTCATTTAGAGCCCAAAATTGGGCTTAAAAAACAAAACATACTTAATTAGATGTATCACCAGCCATTACCTTTTAAATTAAAATGAAATAGGGTTATGGCAGTTTCTCTTGAACTCATGAAAAAAATAAAGAAAAAGCCTTCTGTACAGAACTTTTAATACTTAAAGACAGCTAATCAAAAGGAAACGTTACACAAGCACAACAACGAAACCACAGCAAAAAACTCTATTGCCATACAGTTACTGTTTACAATGGATGGCCACTTGTTTTTGATATGTTGCCAAGCAAGAACATTTCTAGTAAGAAGTTGAAATTTCCTGACCAGAATTTTAAAAAGTGGGTGTTAAAAACCCCGATATCATTTTAAGTGAACTGGGTAAGGTGAAATAATATCTTACAGGGGTCAAGGAAATTCAAGCTATTTATGAAGTTATCAGTAATTACCGAACTGATTTGACTGCTCAGGAAAAAAAAAAAAAAAAAAAAAAAAAAACCTCCTAAGAACCTCCTTCCCCAGAGCACTATCTGCTCTGTACTTACTTCTTCTGGAATGTCCCACTGTAGTTTGGTAGGCATAGGAATATTTTGATTGGTATCTCCTTTGCAGTGTCCATCCTCTGAATAGCCCAGTTCAAGGTACTCAGTTGCCATTACATTCTGCAAAGATACATTTTCAAAATTGTAAATGTAACATATTGCTATGAAATTAGAATTTGGAAGTCAGCATAATACAATTTCAATAGATAGTGAAGTATAGTACACGGTCTGTTTTCAAAGAGTGAGGATAGATGCTTTCCTACTACTTTAAGGGATTTTTGCCTGTCTTCTTCACAGGAAAACGTGAGATATGTACAAAATACCTGACTGCTGCAGTACATTTTGTTACATGGTATCGAAATAATCAGTGTTTTAATTAAAATCCCACCTCCAACTTAGCAGTAGTAACAAAAAGTCTTAGTCTTATATTTCACAAACTTTGTTCAATTTTGATTCTGAAGAGTTTCTGCAAGGTTATCATCTGTCTAAATTTGTTTGTAAAAAAAAGTTTATTTCAGATTAAGTGCATCTCCTTGCAAAAATTTTATCAGAAATATTTAATTCTCTTTAAGATTTGCATCCTATTCAGTGTTTATATATGTGCATTAGACTTCCTGTGTGAGGAAGTGGAATGTTTTCAGGATGGACAATACAACCTGAACGACAGGATAAAAAATTTCTACCTCACATGATTTCAAATGACATCCTCAATGTAAAAACACAAAGCAGAAGATTTCAATCTGCTCAACATGGAAAGAAAAAAAATCGACAAAAGTCTGTTACACATACATACATATTTCCAGTCTCTTAATTTAACTTTCTCACTTAGATGACAGAACATGCCAACTATGAAAAAAATCATATCTACAAAACACACCACGTATAAACACCTAACAGTAGATAATTTCCTAGGAAACTGAATTCTTCTCAGTTTATTTTGAGCTTTGTAATTCTTCGCAGAAAAGGGAAAAACTAAGAGTAAGTACAAACAAATGAACTAAGTATATCTTAGTATATTCACCGAACAGTAACTTTTCCATTACCCAGAACAGCTGGTCTGAACTAGACAGTCCAGTCAACCTCAAACAAGTTTTGACATTCTCCCCTGGTTAGCGAGTGCAATTAGGACTTCTTGTTCTTACAAATAGATGCTCTCAGGTAATAAAATCAGGACATGACCTGGGGGCATCATTCAGGCCTGAGTCCCATTTGCACAAATACATAATGAAATTAGAATTAGCTAATATTTATGAGTGATTGAGACATAACTGTTTATAGGCTTAAGCTTTGAGAGAAAAAACAAAAACATTCAAATAGGATTTCAGGCAATAAACTATGCTCATGATGGAGAAATCTGTCAAAAAGTGCCTTCATCCCATTCATTGCAGTGAAACGAGCTAATCTAAACAACATATCAGTCTACACCTCATAAAAAATGGCTTAGAGGAAAAGTTATACTCCAGCCTGTATCTAAGTTTTACAAATAAGCACGGGGTTTGGATAGCACAAGGAAGCTTAAAAGCTCCAGAAGCATGCATATATGCACCATAAAATGCTGTGTCAAACAGGCAACAGTGTATTTATACTGAATACTATAAACAAGTGGGATGGAATGCCATATCACTTTTCTGCGAATGCATCTGTTGTCATTAAAATACAATTAAGACTTAAATTTAAGGCACAGCAACTTCCTAGGCATTTTTTAAAAAATTCTGTGGTTGCTGTGTAAAACCGAAAATAGACAAAACTGAAAGAGGTCCGTAAGTCCTCATCAGCTCAATAAATGCAGGGGACTGAAGACAAACCCAATGATCTTCAGAGGACCAAATAATGTTATCTTCTACATTCTTTTTTTTTTTTTTTTTTTTTTTTAAATAAAACACTTACCTCCCACAGGTGTCCAACAATAGGCGCATCTGCCCAAGAATGCTCTGCATTCAGACCTATTCTGCCATTTTTGAATACTACAAGAGTAAATGTTTTATCAAACCACCTACAAAAGAAATTGAGATTATGTTATGGATTTTTATACTTTAAAAACATTTTTACACTGTATCTTCATCTCGATCAAAAAGACATTCAAATGCAGAATGCTTTTTTGTTTGGGTTTGATTTTTATTTTTTTTTAATAAACAGACAAACTTATTGGCTTAGAAGTCACTAACTCATATTAGCCACATGAATTAGCAAAATTCTAAAAATACGATGTTTTCCACAGAATCGATACTGTACCTGTCATAACATCTGCCATGTATTAGGGACTTTGCATATGCATCCAGTGACCTCCCTGGATCTTCCTTCCTGTACCCTTGCTCGATGTCGTCCAACGTCACAAAAAATGCTGCTTTTTCAACAGCATCTAGAGACTGTTTGTTCTTTCCACGGCTAAAATAAGTCTGTCGAGCCTTAGCCCATGGTATTCTGCAGAAAGAATTTGTTTTACAGCCAAGTTACAAAAATCAGTCAATATTTTATTACCCTTAAAATCACTATGCAACATTTCTCCTACTTTTATTAAATTCAAAGCTACTACTTTCACTATGTTTAAACTACATCAGAAGGGGAAATTCTAAGAACACAGATATAATGCAAAGCTAGGAAGCAATTCATTATCAATTCCAAAGTGATCTTACAGCATCCTTCCAGTACTTAAAGGGGGCCTACAGAAAGCTAGAGAGGGACTCTTGATCAGGGAGCATAGCAATAGGATAATGGTAATGGTTTCAAACTAAAAGAAACTAAAAGAGTAGATTTTGATTAGACATCAGCATGAAATTCTTTACTCAGAGGGCACTGAGACACTGGAACAGGTTTCCCAGAGAAGTTTATGTTATGTCTCTGGATGTGGCTTTGAGCAACCTGGTGTAGAGGAAGGTGTCCCTACCCATGGCATGGAGGTTGGAACTTGATGAACTTGTGAAGTCCTTTCCAACCCAAACCATCCTATGATATCATCACACATGCAAAGCTTACTCTTCAGAAGTTCAACATGTCTGCTGCACCCGAAACGTATAGCATAGATCTACATTTAGTAACTGAACAAATAACTGATCTTGCACCTAGAACTGAGTATATACTGCTTTATTTTGTAGGTGCAAGTCATAAATATAGAACAGCAGTTACTGAATTAACATTATCTATCTTAAATTTTAGGATATTCTTTAAGATGCCAGGAAGCCTCAGAGCAGATTTAAGCTTTAGTTCAATATGCTTAACACTGTAAAGCTTCAAATTACTATTCTTACAGCAAACAATTAAAGCAGAGTTCCCCAGCTTTTCAGCTAAGTATAAGGAGCCTGTATACAGCACTGACACTGCAAAATTACTTTTACCTCCCTGTTATTACAAAGGACTGTACAGCCGTTACATGTCAGCAATATACTTCTTAATATATTAATTTTTAAAAAATGATAATAACCATACCTATCTCCTGCAGTAAGAGCTGCTAGTTTTGCTTCACCAGCCTGAGGCTCTGAATCATCATCAAGAATTCTTTGCATCTGCTGTTCAATTTCTCGAGGTTTCAACAGTCTACCATCATGGTACAGCCACACTTTGAAGTAACGCCCCTTATGGTACACAACGATGTGCTTGCTGTCTTTCACATGCTGAAGAGTATCTAGAATTGTAATCGCTTATGTGAAAAGAAAGCTGAAGTTTCAAAATACCAATAACACACTATATAACATCAAACGCCTGCTGTATGTATTACCAGTTAGCCACAGCTTGCTTATTTTAACAAAGAAATAAAATGTGGAATAAGAGGTACCACTCCCACACGTTAATTCAGGATTTTAGTACACAAAAATTGCTGCAGGAAACAGTCAAATACCCAGATTTGGTAATCACGTAACAGTTTCACGGTGGAGACAACTAAAGATACAAACTAAAGATAAACTAAAGATACAACTAAAGATACTTCATCTGCATTTCTGTATCCAAAAAGTAAGCAGTACCAGTGTAGCCTGATGAAGCAGTCAGCAAGAGAACATGCTGGGTAAGTCTGGCAGAAGGTACATCCATATTCATGAGCTTTTTTTCATGCTTACCCTGGCACATGCAGACAGAATACTACCTCTATAGTCATGAAGTGTCACATTACAGTAGTCAGTGAAGAAACCTAGGCTGCAAGTTTGTCCTCACTTTATTTACAAATATAAATCCACTTGGGATAAGCCTAAACTTATGTCATGAAGGCATTGTGTCAAACCTCAAGTGAAGGTTTGTAAGCTGCCAGGAAAAGTCCTCATTTGATAAAAACTGTTTGGTTCTTTCACTACTCCAAAGAACTGTTTACATTCTTATGCATCTGAGGAGACCAGTTAACGAGATGGTAAAGAAAAAAAGCCTAAGTCCTGATTCTGAGAAATTTGAGAATTGTTGCACCAGGAAAGAGTGCTCAGAGCACTCAAAGTATAGAACTCTTAATAAAGTATAGAGCACTTAATGAAGTTTAGACAGGTATGCTCCATCCATTGATCAGAAGCATTTTCATTCTTCTGTGAGCCTATTATACTATTAAAGAGCACCACTATCACTTGGAAAGCGCAATCGAACATGCAGATTCATCACATCATGGAAGGCATTTTAAAATAAAAATAAAAATTGAGGAGCTGGAGTTACCCCAGAGTTACATGACTAACTTCAACAGGCATAGGACCTAAAGTGAAAATGAGAGGACCTAAATGAGAGGACCGAAAGTAAAATGTGACAAACCCTGCTTTTCTATCTATAGGCATTATTAACGAACGCACACATCTGCGTTCCCTCAAGATGTATTCAACTTCTGTTGTCTGTAATGAGAGCATGTTTACAACTACAATGAGAATGTACACATGAACTATCTTGTAACTACCTTGAACTAACTTGCAGATACAAATGTTTTTGGGGCTGAGCTAATATGATTGCTTGTGGTGATCACATAAATGTATTTGTAATGTTCCGCAGTACGTAGAAGTTGCAGAAGCAGACTGAGGTGAAAATGACCCTACTGTAATTCAACAGCTACCTCCCTTTATTCAACACTAAGATGTGAAAATTTAGTTACTCATCACTTAGGATGATCAGGCCATTACTAGAGTTAGGGTAGGACAGGAGCTCACCACCAACAACACTGTATACATTTTCTTAATGCATTACAGAGAAAGTTTTGGACAATCTCCTTATTACAGGTGATTTCACTTATCTGGTATCTTACAGTGCATACAAAGTGTCAAGACAATACTGGCATTGAAAGAAACTGACAGGACTAAGACTGCCTGTAAACCACGTAAACAATACTGTTGCTCCTATTGAGAAGAATACATTATGATGTTATTGTGAATAATAAACAGAAAGGAAAAAAAAAACAAGAGATGATATATTTTAAAATAACTTTGATAAAGGAACACAACTTTCACAAAAAAACAGATATCAAAAAGGAACCTGAAAGAGCAGAATGGAAAAAAAGTAAAGGTTATGTACACATTAAAAATATGGGGCAAACAATTTCTTGAAGTCATCTTATAAAGGAAGAGACAAAAAAACACTAAACTTTCAAAATTACTCTGAAAGAGAAGTCATCTATACACTTTATGGCAATTCATTACTTCTTCAGAAACAACACTATTCGTGTCCTGTCTTTCAGATCCTTACATGGGAAAATACGATTTTAGCAGAAAATTCTCCCCAAACTGTAAATTCCATGATGATGTTTTTTCTCCTTGGATGGTCCTGCTTACCTGATTCCACCCCTGGAATACGGGATGTGTTAAACATCCGCTCCCACTGAGCTGAGCAGAGCGGAACAGTTGATCCCATCAGAAGAATCTGCACCACAAATACACATTAAATTGTAATTTGTATACAGTTAGCATATTAACAAGGAAAGAAAAACACAGTCTGGTTAAAAAACAGGCTGTAGAACAATGAGATTTATAATGCATCTGTTTTTTTGTGGTCCTCACCTTGACTTCAACTACATGTGGAAAGTTTCATTGACATTCCAGTAGCTGCATTTCCATATCCCCCCTCACCTTACCAAAGCTCTCCCTTCAGGAGGCATAACTAAAACTAGTTAGCATCAGAAACCCAAGGATCTCTCTATGGTCAGTCTGGATGCAAAAGATACACGTGCAGCAAGCATTACCTCTTCACTTCTTTTTTTTTTTTCCTAAACAGCCAGAAGGAGGTTTAAAAAGGTCCAATTTCTCAGACATGCAGTTGCATACAACTAATTATACCCCTACCATGATCTTCAACAGAACTCCTTAATTGCTTTAACAATATTTGTTCACTACAACAAACAGTCACAGAGTGGGATAGAAATTTAGAATGGGATTCATCTTGCCTATCTCTGCTGCCTACAATTCAGCACAACTCTCCATAGGGTTTTCATATCATCTACACTTAGGCTATCACTGGCCCACTCTTAACCTCAGGGTCCTCTCCTTGCCTCAGCCAGCCCTTGCACTGGCAGTGAGTGCAGAGTCAGAATGGTATGAGGTACATATCTAGTGGAAATCAAGTGTTTCTACACTTCTGTTCAAAGACTTTTTTTTTTTTTTTTAGTTTCTCTAGCATCATTGTTGCATCAGCTTAAGAAACGAATAAGTTCAGCTATACACTGCAGATTTTTATTTCCCACCTTGATAAATTAAGTAAATACATCCATCATATTTGGTGGACCTACTAAGCTAGATAATTATGAGCAGAAATCCAAAAGAACAACATGAAGATATAGCAAGCAGAATGACATTCAGCGTAGCATACAACTTTCATATGCTACTCCACTTAGAATCCATCCTTAAAGCCAGTATTAGCAAGAAATATGGAAATGTTTTCTTATGAGATTTTCAGACTTCAGTAGCTTGGAAGTACCATTACGTGCTTGGTACAGACCAATAATTTGTGAGGTGGTACGCTTAACATACACAAGTGGAAGATTCTATTTTCTTTTGGGCAAATAGGTATGTCAGTTTCAAATACTGAAGTCAGTTAGCATGACTGAAGTCTGTGTTTCTGATAGCTGGTACTTTCTGCCTACATGCAATTCAGGTGATAACCAAAATGTTTTCAGATCACAGATCTAGCTGCACCTTACTTATTGTTCTGGCATAAGATATTCCTCTCCTTTCCTGCTCCAAAAAAAACAGATCAACTTCTTACTGGCTGTGCTGGAAGAGATCAAAAGCCATTTGAACTTATATACATACTGGCTTGATTTCTTGTCTGTCCAGTTTTTTCCGGTAGAGCAAGATGGCATGGATAACATTACCAGCTCTAGCTGCCTGTAGGGTTGTGGGTGTTAAATAAAGGAAGTCCTGTAGAACAAATAAGAATCTTAAGTTAATTATCACCATACTACACTGGGAAAAAAAAAAATACTTAGTACTTCTCATTCATTTTTTTTTCTTACAGTTTATTCTGGTCAGTAAAGAAGAGGCTTTAAAATATGACGGAAGTATGCTAGTGCAGTGACTTGATGAGTTCAAACTTAAATTTCTTCATTAGTCAAAGTCTCCATAAACAGCATCAGTCTGAAAACCTACATGACAGCTATTAGTCATCCCAAATACTACTACTAAAAATTTAAATACAAGACTACAGTATTTCCTAATTTTGTTTTTAACATCAGGATCTTTTGCAAATGTCTGTACAAGAAGTAAAATTGTAAACAAGAACATGCAGCTGTGTTACCAATGAAGTTTTACACTGAGATTTTAAAGATCGCTTGTGGCAATAAGTACAGAATTGGATAACAACTCATTACTGCATGAGTCTGCTTAAATGACAGATGTGCTAAGTTTATTATGAAAATAGCACTGTACTTAAGATATTAGTTTCAGGTTATACTCAAGAAAGAAAATCACCACATACTGGAGTTCCAAAACAGAAGAAATGAAAAAAATCACTGGCAGAGATTTTACAGTGGTTCTATGGCAGATAAGATGTTCACAACATTTACCTACCATTGCAAAATAGTTACTATTAACCATAATTGGTCCACGTCCTCTAAGGTAGATATATTCTTCCCACCAATCACTAACCTGCAGCACGAAGAACAAGAAAATGAGTAAGACCTCATCATTTCCATAGTTTGTGTTTATGTTAATGACTCGACAACACTCCACACAGAAGCAGCATGAAAACTGATAGCTTGCCCTTTCACTTAGGAAACACGCAAACAGACCAAAATCCTCCACTAAATTCTGTTAATATTTAGGGGAAAACAACAACAAAGGTTGAAAAAAAATAAATTCAGCTCTAGCTCACTGATCATAGGCTTCTGAAGGCATCATCTTCATATAATGTTTAAAATGCATCAGATCTCCTGAATGTGAAGTATGCCAGGGTAACTGTAGAACATCCTAGTTTACCTCAGACTAATTTGTACAGCTAGATTTTAGATAACATCTCAGGAAGGAATTATGCTGCACAGTTCTCACTATGGTATTGGAGTCTGGATTTTCTTTTTGATAAAAAAAAAAACGACATATTTGTTATGATTCTTTACTTCACTTTCATATGCTTTACCTGTTCTATATAAAAAAATTGTTCTAAATCCTTCTTCTACCTGGTCAGCCACACCCAGTGTTGAATTATAAATCTTAACAAGGTAACGTACAGCCTAAAAGCAATCATTACAGCTAAATTACCAGCTCCAGAAGAATAAACATAGAAATGAAGATCCACTCTTTCAAGTTCCATTTGCGACACTGTTTACTAAATCCCAGATTGAATCATTTCTGTGCAAATCAAGTGGTCTCCACTTTACACAAATATTAGTCAATTTCAGTTGCTTTCTTCAACATTTAAAAAGGAATGAATGTTAAGCCAAAAATGCAACAAAGAACAAATAAAATAAGGTCAGTTGAATAGTTAAGTCTCCTGTTTATCTACTTACATAGTTTGTGGCCCACCAGGATTTTAGCTTCAAATACCACTGAAGCCTTGGTCCCAAATTAAAAGCAAAGTCTTTGGCAAGACCTTCCATTCTTTTGAACTCTTCATCATTCATAAGTGGCCGGACTGATTCCAGATACTAGAACACAGGAAAAGAATCAGCATCAGTGTAGTCACCGACACATAGCTTCTTATCATTTCCACACAAAACATTTGAACAGTAGACAGGGTATTCAGACTGAATACATAAGGCTTCAAATGTTATGTTGTTACTGTTAAGAGTATACTCTATTCTAAACTTTTGCCTGTGAAGTATAAAAATTAGATCTTTTCCACACATTTGTCAGCAAATTGAAAGTGAAAAAGGTCACTTTTCTAATATACATTCTCCCCTCAAAAGCAGAACATATCTTAAAGTATTTATTGTATTGAAGAACTCCGTATATAAGCATTAACTCGTTTCTTTTTTCCTTTTTCAAAGTTGGAAACTTTTGCAATTGTTTTTCTTCCTTAGAAATTAAATGATTCTGCTTCTTTAGCATGATGCAGAGAGTTTTGTCTCAAAAACAAGAAAATCAAATCTTCAGCTTCTATGACATACTGCCCTACTTTGCTGCAAGACTTTTGTTTCATAAAACACTTTTCTGCATGTGTTAGGGAATGCAACAAAACCAAGATGTATCAGAAGCCCTGGAAGGCACATTTCATTGGACAGCATTATGTAAGTTGATATCATATTGTTCAACATGAAGCAAGCCAGCTTCAAACTGTCATTGGTTTTAGTGGTTTGTCATAGGCCCTGTTTTAATTTCTATGGAGACATTTTAATCCATTAGACAACATTAACACTACCATGCAATGATTTTAAAAGACATGGGAAAACAAAACAAAACCAAACAGTCAAACAAAATCACAATGGTATCTAAATACTGATTAAACCTTACTAAGGAAAGTGAATTAAGTTCAACATACCCTATTGACTGTGTCTTTGACAGCTGGAACTGGCAATCGTGGTAAAGATGTTTGGAAACTGTACAACATGGGCTTACGTCCCGAGAAGAGCTTTACAAGTGACTGAAGAAAAAACAAAACCAGAATACACACCCCAAATTATTAGATTCCACAAAGGAAAGTGACAAGAGTAATAAGGAATAACATAGCTCTGAGTTCCTTTCATCAGTAAGCGATACATTTAGCAAACTACCACCTTTATCATTGTTTTACAAAGTTAAAAAGGCACTGACAGAAACTAACTTCCTCAAGGTTAAAACATTGTGTCAGTTGCAGAAATTGTGTCATGGAGTCTTCCTGTCTTCCCACACAATCTTTTAATTGTTAAGCAATACTGTTGTTCTTGTGTGGCACACTTTGATCTCAAAGAAAAACAGAGATGGTTACTTAGTGCTTTCTTTCTTCATACATTTCCTCTGCGAAGGCTAAAGGAGTGAGTCTACCTGTTGATATTTCACTTTTATAATAGGCAGTAAAAAGAAACACCCCTACATTGTACTTTAAAACAGGATTCATTATCAAGCCTCTCATTCAGCTAAGGATCTTAGATAACTACAGGCATCATTAAAAATAATAATAATAATGCTTTGGAATCATGATTTGATATTTTCCACAGGTAGAGCTCAGTATCAGTATTATAGATTTACAGGGAGTTTCTTTAAGCATGAGACTGTCCCAGGTAGTCTACTGCACAATTTGAACACATCAAGTTGTGTGAGCATGCCGGTGTTATACTCAGTCCTTCTGTTATCAAAAAAAAAAAACAAAAAACCAACAACCAAACAAAACAGCCAAAAGCCAACAGTTACCATTCAGCTTCAGATTTCAGAGCAGTCCCTATTTTTCCATGAGATTGAAGACAGAAGCAGCATTTCTATCTGTGACTGCCTCTGAGCTGTGACATGCAGTAGGCTGAAAGTCTAGACCATGCAGCTTCTGGATTATACACAGAAAGATACTGGAACCATCACCCCATTTCAGCATGAAAGTAAAATCAAGCATTAAACCACTGATCCAGTAGAACCTTTATTGTGAAATCCAATCTGGGCCCAACAGGCTACACAGCACATTGCACACAGTTCAACATACTAAATGGTCCAATAGTCTGAAGACAGAAGAAAACTGAGGATTTCCTTTCACTGTTTAATTGCAAGAACTTGCCCCCTCTACCCAAATTACAAACAACTGACAAGGCTACTTATTAAAATATTCACTCCTCTCAATTTCCTTGGTCAGCTCAGCTACAGGAGGTTGTTTCAGGCGGCACAGACATTAAGAGTTTCAGTGTTAGCAACAAAGAAGACCTCCCTGCAACAAACAGATCTGTTAGATGTGCCACAGTGATCAGCCCAATGAAATCTGAATGTGCTTCATGACGAGACAAATTTAAAGCTGAATGAGAAAAACACTCAGCTTTTCACAGGAAAATCTACTTTCCTTGCATGAAAACAATTTTATTCCAGAACTTAGGCAAGGCTGACACTTTCTTCAGACAGAAAGAAAGTACCTGCTCAACTGACAGACAGAAAACATTTCACAGTGTTTCTCTTAAATTCAGTGAGAATTTAACAGTTTGAGACCATTAAATTGAACTGACAGTCACACATCCATAATTACTTCTCCACTTTCACATCCAGACACAGCAAATGATCTCATTCTTGCACATGTTGCATCTGTTCCAAGAATGTTTGTCTTTTTTTATTTTTAAACTGCAACTAATACTTGGAATTTCCCCTCATGCTGATCAGAAAATTTGACTTATTTAGAGGCTGGAATTTTCATCCAGCATGCAAATCAATTTATACAGTGACTGAATCACAGCTTAAGTTTTCTATCTGCATGACTATTTGAACAGAGAACAATATACCCACACTAATATTTTCATGCTGTTAATGAACATGAAAAGCAGCTGAAAAAAAAATCAAAAACCCCACACATACACACAGAAACCTCTCCTGGATGATAAAAATCTAGAAAGCTAAGGTACTTGGTACTTTCATTAGGGAAACCAGTCTTCTCTTTTGTTGGAACTAGCTAATGAAAAGGTAAGGAATTAAAATAAAGATTCACATTAAGGATAGATGGGACACTGTTGGGCGTATATTTATATAGATACTTGTTTCTAAAGCATATGTAACGCACAAGAGAAAAAAATATATGCAACCTATAATATAGGGAAGTATATAAATATAATACACAACAGAGCGTGGTAAGTAGCATTACAGTTCACACTATTGAAGGCTGGCGTTATAAACTAAGATTAACAGCTTTAACACATCTATTTGGTAAGACATGCTGAAAACCCTGACAGCAGGAGCTTCAAGCAACTGACAGAAAGCCTTACCATTCAGAGCCTGTACTGTACAAATTCGAGTCATGAGGCTCTTGACAGTGCTTCCAGGAGAAACTAGTGATTAGAAATTTAATATTCATCTGTTACAAATGAAATTTTATTTTAATCTATATTCTGGATACTGGATATATTCTGGATGCTGTTGATTACCTTCCATAATAAAGCATTACATGTTGTTAAACATAACTACTGTTAATTTTTGAGGCTAGAGACACTTATTTTATCTTAGTAGAGCACTTTAATTTCTACATTAATATTGGAAAGAGAGTTAAAATGACCAAGTCTGAGTAAAAAAGTCGCTTCATTTTTGGAGCACCTATATGTACATTTCCTCACTTGACACTTATCACTGCCTTTCAGGGAGATGACAGCCTCTTAGATCCTTTTCCAAAGCATCTCAATTACCGAGAGGAGCCAAATCACTCAGATCTTGTGTAAATTGTGTGACGAGCTACCTACCGCATGTTTTTGCTCCAACTCTTTTTGGAGTCATACCACTAAAATTGATTGAAGGGACATTTAACGTTATTTTCTTCAAACGTGGGATTAAGTTTGGAATGGATGACTAGAAACACCAACATTCAACTTCAACAAAGAATTTGGGTAGCACTTTGTGGGGGAAAACAAGACTTTTTGGTGCCACGTGCCAAGAGAAGTAGGTATTTGAGTCACAGAATCCCAAGACGTTGGCAAATTTAGAAGTTATTCTTAGAGTGTTTATTCTTCCTTCTACAAGGCCATACTGAAAAGTTTAATTATAGCATCAAAAAGATGATAGTAATTAGAAATATTTAACAGCCTCCCATCTTAGGATACAGAAATGCAAGCAAGAACGAAAAAAAATTACAAAGTTATACTTTTTAGGACCTTGAAAACAAATCAGACGCACACTAAGATAAAACAGAAAGACAATATATCCTTACCATCCAAAGCTTGGTGCCTGCAGAAAGTTTGCCATGTTCAGCAAACATCCAACCATGGTAGGAAAGCAGCATTTTAAGAGAGTACCGCATTGTGACAATAAGGGCAACCCAAAGTCCTGTGCCAAAAAGTATTCCACTGACGATGTTCTGTGTTTGATTTGACATATAGCCACTATTTTAAGAAAAAAAAGGCAGTATCTGTCAGTTAACAGCAGTTTAAGTTTTAGAGAGAACTTAATATTGCAAACCTAAGTCCCGTGGTACTACAGGCAGACATTACAGAAGCCTGTTTGCCCCTTTTCATTAAACTCCTTTACAAACATCCTCTCATACACGAAGAACAAAGGCAACAGAAGTTACCAACTGAGCTTCCCAAACACTCATAAAACAATGCAGTAATACTGGTACAACAACCTACATGTTTCATACCCTTTTGCTTTAAGATTTATGCTTACTCTATCACAAACATACTGTTCAAAAACTTGCACAGTTATATCTAAATACTCTTAATCTAAATCCTGTCAAACTGATTTGGTTTAGAGAACAGTAAGTTTTCAGGCTACTTACGTTGTATCAAGGGTTCGGTTGATTTTAGCTATTATTCCTAAAGAAGGATCAATTTTGGCATACATTGTTGACATCACACCCACAACTACAATAAGCCAGCTAGATGGGCTAGCAGGGTAAACACCAGTGATAATTCCATTCTGGAAAGAAAAGCCTTCACATAATTTTTTCATACCAAAGTGGTTGACTTCATATTACCATGGAAAGAAACAAAAATCAACACATTTAAGTCATTTAGTTTTAAACAAGAAGTTAAGATTATCCAGCATTTTCTTACACGTGCTTAACTCATGAGTAAGGAATGGATTTTAGTGAAGTTTGACTGCTACTGGAAATTGTCACAACAATACCAACAATTAAAGGAACTTCAGAAGTTTCTTTGCAGATGATATGGACAGTGCTTCAAGTCTTACTAAAAATACTGAAGTCAGTAAACTTCCTTGGAGCAAATGGCACTTCAATAATTCTCACTTAGCTCTGGATCAGGCCTCTCTAAATGAATAAATGGCAGAAAATATTCTACTAAACAATACACTGAAAACTGGAAAATTTCTGTCATTGAAGCAGTCCTCAAAGCTTTAAGAAATCTTTATTAAGACTACTTTAAAATATATAAATTTGAGTGTTAAGAAGATGCTGAAATTAACCGGTAGTTTACCTAGCTTTTTACTAATAAAATAGATCCATTTAGAATCCCACGAACAAATAAATTCATAGAAATCTGTATCAAATATCAGTTTCATTTATATCCATAATACAGATCAGAAACATTACTACATAGTATAACTCTTTCAAAAATTGCCTGAAGATCTGCCTTGAATATACCACACATTTTCTGTAATTTGAAAAAATTAATTTTGGTAAAGATGTAAATCAAGAGTACATTTTTGTTTGTTTGTTTGTTTTTAAGTGACATGACTTTTAAAGTCACAATTATATTTTTGACCTGTGCTAAAAGATTACATAATTACATCATCTCTTATGAAGATAAGTAAACTAAAACTATTATTAATTTTTACACCTGCTTCATCTTGCTTTCCACAGAACAGATCAAAAAGATGTATCCTTGCAGTCTTGACACTGTCATTTTAGCACAGCATCAGCCAGTGCTACCTTCCTTACTATCTCTTGTTAACTAAAATCCGCACAAGTCATTCACAATAAGGAACTTTATTTGCCACAGAGGCATAAAAAATAAGTTGTGCTTAAACAAAACTTCAATAAATCTATGAAACACTGAATAACCTTCACATTTAGTAGGCTTGACTAATTTTAAGTACCTTGAATCTGATGAACTTTTTCTTCCATGAATGGATACCAGATAGATAAATTTGTTTGAGTGCCTCATGGCTCATCCGCAGGTCAATCCCATCTGGAGTTACTGTAAATTGAAATGCTACTGCTTGATGGGCTTCTGCCATTTTTGAAAAGAGTTCTGTCAAAAAAAAAAAAAAGTTTAAAAAAATTAGACTTTGTTCAAAGGTACTAGGAACTAGCCCATTTCTGTCAAGAAGTCTTCTCCACAGTCATTTTGGAAAACATTTCAAAGTATGACAAATTTACACATAGAACTTCCCTCTTCTTCACAGGCTATGCTTGCACTTCAGTCTGAGCCTCTGGTATGTTAATTAAGGTACTACTTCTAACCACAGCTGCTGAAAATGGAGACAAAACACTCATATATAATTTCAGTGTTTTGGCAGTAAGCTGAATATCGTGCATACACATAATATATAAATCCCCAGCACAGAGCAGGAAGTTAAAGATATAATATTTAGAAGAAGTGTATTGCAGGTAAGTAGCACCTCATTCTGCTACGATAAAGGGATTTTTTTTTCTTCCATAATTTTAGAAACAAAAGGTATTTAAAGTCTTCAACTCAGCTAGCAAAACAAAGCAGCTTTGGGCCATGCCTTCTTCTGAAATAGTCTCCTTCCCTTACTTTTAAGCTGAGCAGTCAAAACAATATGACAGCACAGCTCCAGTTCTCACCAGCAAATAAATGCAAAAATTAAAGCCAAGCAGGGAAAAAAAACACAACTATCAGAAAAGTAACCTTCATATAAACAAATCTGAAATTAAGTAAAGAGGAAATTTAATTGAACTAATTATGCCAACATAACAAATCAACAATAACACAAGTACAGAAGAAAGACCATCATAACGGGCAGGCATACCAGGCTAAAATAAAAACCATCAGCAGTTAGAATAGAAACCCAACTGAGATCCAGTTCACATACATGTCTTAACTCTCTCTGAGGATCCTGTCAATTTGAATTGAACTTTAAGTTCTTCTTTATCAACTTATCTTCATAGCTTCTTTCTTCCCATAAGCAGCATTTCCACACAGATACCCTGGAAGGTACCCCTACTCATCATCACAGTAATGTTGTTTGAGCATCTACAATCATAGATGGTCTACAAGACACAGATTTTTCTAGGCAGGCTCTATGAATAGCATAGTTGTTTAGTCCACATACTACTGAGGAGACCATTGTGATAAAGTCCGTTGTACACACGCATTTATTAGCTTACCAGAAATTCTGTGCATAAACTTAAAAACAACATCCCCTTAGAAGTACAGCAAGGAGGTAAAGGAATCCATATTCCCATTTGTAGGTCAGGATTCAAGGGCAGGTTTTAACTTCACATTTTACTGGTACAAAATACAATGTAATCAACACTACGCGCTCTAAAGTAGCACTGGCATTTGTCTTTAAACAGAAAAGTACAACTGCTTCATACCTTTTGAATCCTAAATGCTTAAATTTCCATTTCTTCCACAAATCTGAAGCTTAAACTGCTTAGCAAAACTTAAGTTCTGCTTGACCTTCATCCCTTGTAAAACAGTAAGTCAGAGCTGACCAGTACATTTTAGCTGGGCAATTCAAAAGCAGTCTATTATGCTATAATGCTCCTCCCCTTTGCTGGAAATATCCTATAATGTGAAAACCATCTGGAGGACAGAAGGTGTAAAAAGGTCTGTGCATGCTAAGGATTATAAGGGAATGCTACATTAATAACAGGCCTAGGAAATAAATATAGGAAGAGAAGGAGCACTAGGCAGAGAAGAGCAAGATAAGTGCTGTTGCCCAATATCTATTAAGGCAGTAGACCAACAAGTAGTGACTGCAATATATGTAAAGTACCTGTCCCTCAGCCAGCATCTAATGATCTGCCTCTGCAATACAACTGCTCCTACAGCAGCTGATGGTAATTCAGAGATCTCCCAAATCCGTCAGTCACTGCTCAAGTGTTAGAGGCTCAAAATCCTGGTGAATCAGACTTTTGGCTTCCAGAAGAGTAGCTAAAGCTCACAATGCCGTACAGATAGAATGCAGTTGGATCTACGCTTGTACAGCATTTCATTAAGACAATGAAGAAACAAAATCAGCTTTTAACATGAGTCTCAGGACCTTTAAGTCTCAGGTCCTGCATGCCGTAGCAACAACTGCAATCTGTAGCACTTCATGACTCAGTCACTAACAACCGCTCATTTGCAGGGGCCGTGCTGTTGGCAAGCATCAGGAAGTCAGTCAGCTGGGTATTCATTCATGTAAACTGTGCATCAGCTCTACATTGAGGCCAAAATTGTGTGAGTGATGAAATAGGCAATAGTAATACATGGCACACCCTGGACACAACAGGGCTCAAAAAAGGAGAGAGCAATCAAAGAATTCATCATAAGTTTAGTGCTACTATTAAGACCAGGGTTAAAAACAAACAAAAAAAAAAAACAAAAAACAAAAAAACAACAAACACACACACACACACCATATCCCTATGTGGAGAATCAGGCTCACAGACTCATTTCGAAAGAGCCACCTGGCTGTCCAGATCACACAGAGTAAGACACTGGCATCCCAGAACATAAAAGTAACAGATGAACTAGTTTCTGTTACCCTTCAAGTCCCCTATGGCTTCTCAGCCTGGAAATCCTCCTCCTGGTTTCTGAAGAGAAAGGAGTTCAGGAAACCCTCCCTCTGAAGTGCATGCGTTTCTATTGTCCAATGTAGAAAAAGTTATAAATAGCATTCATCAGAAACTGTCAACCTGATATATTAACGACACTAAATTTAGCATGATCGTTAAATATGTTTCAATAGGGAAAAGATTCCCTATTACCAAATGAAGCACAAGTGAAAGAATATTAATCCAGCAAGAACTAATCCTAAATCAATTAAACAAGCCCTGAAAACAAAGACAGGTTTAGTTATAGGACTGTATTACTTGACCCTGAAAGATATAAAACCAAACGGCTTGTTTCTTTTCATATCCTTTTCCTTTACCGAAGGAAAATAAGTCTTTAAGACTAGTTTGTTTGTTCTGAGTTATGATGGCGAAGTACCAAAGAGACTTCCTGGAGTGCCTTTCTTTGAACACTTCTTTTAGCTCCTAAAGGCCAATTCAATCATAAGCTGCTGTACACTTCCCCTCCTTTGCATTCCTCTGCCATCACGTGCTTGCTCACAAAGTAGGTGAAAGAGCACAGGCTGCAGGAGCATGCGCGAGATTTTAGACTTCACTTACCACTGTTGGTAAGGCAGAGCCCACATCAATCAGCTAGCTAAGACTGAAACAATAACTTCTTTTAACTTCAGGCGTTTTGGTCAGCAAAATATTTCTGTACAGCATATGTTAATTAGCCCTATCCCCAGCAGCGAGCCATAACGAAGAGTTTACGGCCTTAGCAGCTTGGCCAAGTCTTACTTAAAGGAAAAAAAGAGAAAGATGAACACAATTTCTACAAGTAAACTTAAGCAGTTATTTTCATACTTTTGAGCGTTCCTTTATAGAATTAACATATCTGACAGCCACGTTTGCCCCCTAACTTGGTTCAATTTTATTTTATTGAAGGAGAAAGCTGTTCTCTGCTCTCTTCTGGTTTTAGTTCAATTCGAACGTGCTGTAACAGCTGCAAATGCTTCTCCTCCTCCCTTCTCATACTGCATCTTGAGCCAATCAAAACTTACCACATTATTTTTCCATTGTTATAAACAAAATACTGCTAGGTTGGAAGTCAGATTTTTGGTCAAGAAACACAAAACATGCTGTGAGGCTCAAGCCCTGATAGATCTAATGGTCTGAAAATGGTAAAATGGAAAAACTATATTGGTTTGTCTACTACACATAAAACCTCTTCATTGTGCTGTTTCTGCAATTTCAGGACATTGTCACGACGAAGACCAAGGTTTAACTTTTTAGCTTCTCATGCCCACAGTCCTAGTGATTTCAGGGTGAAACCCCCAAACAGTCAGCTTTATATTAGGGCCTACAGGTTCCTATTTCCAAGGAGATGTTGGTCTCAGCTCTGGGAAATCTGAAGCTAAAAAAGATCCCATGTCCAGGAAACTTCCATTTAGTCAGACATACAAGAAGACACTTCTGGTTGGTAACCTCTCTGAGAGATACAATACAGAACACAATGTCTAAAAAGACAGTGAAAGAATTTTCATGTGTATCTTAAAAAGCACCAGGCCATCATCCAAAAGAGTTAAACGGATTAGTGTGCATTGAGTGAAATAAGGTATTAATTCCTGAATCAGCTACTTTTGGAAATGCTATTGAGTATGAGCCTTAATACGTTTCTGCAGATTTCATAGGCTTTATGTGGATAATACGAGAGTGTTTAAAAAAAGCTAAGGAAATCCAGCACCTCCTCATCACAAAAAGCAACTCCTCTCCATATCCGTATTGCCTCTAATCTCAGAGCTCATCCTAGCCCCCTGCTCAACTCATACATTTTCTCTAATTCCTACTCCTCTTGCAATAGGGAAAATCCAGCCATTTCCCCTTGGATATAGTCCAGTCACCAGGAAGAGACGTTATTTAAATGCAGTTTTCACATCCACAGATCCTTCTCCTGCAAAGGAAGGAAATTAACAAGTGCAGAGTAAAAACAGAGAAATCTTATTCATACAGCCCTGAACAGCTAAAATCTGGGTGAAAGAATTCTGTGACTGCCACTTCAAGCAATCTTAACAATTTAGTTTGAAGCTCTCTTCATACTATTTTGACATCTACTTGTATATTAGCTTTTATATATGGTGCATGTATCTGTCGAGAATCAAACTCAGTTCATCCCACAAATCTCTTCAATGATTCTACTTTGGCAGTCAATGGTTGACTTTTCTTGAAGAACAGTGACTGCTGGGAATGCCATCACATACCACCCTGTGCGAGGCTTAATACTACCACAGTTCTCAGACAGACATCTCTGACACCCAAACCGTTGCTCATTGGTGGTGAGCAGACTTGCAGCATCACATAGCCCTGTGCTAAGAGTTAAAGTATGCTACTGGATTCAGCAGAACCTGGAAACCTTAATAACCTCAGACAGATGCACACATCTCTAAGGAAGAAAAACAATTTGAACTTCCTTCAGGAGATGAGCTTGCCACAGCTTTTAGAAGAAATGGTCATCCAAAAAAAAAAAAAAATCCCATTTGCATCTTCATTTGTTAACATTATTTTGGTGGTTTAGGATAGATCACTGAATGCCAAGTCTAAGGACAGACTTAATGAATCTGAGCCCTGGGTTAAAACACTAAAACACCTGCACCGTGTTTGTTTTAAAAGACAAATCAAGTATTTTGTCTCTCCAAATTAAGCTCCAATATATAAATACGCATTTTCTACTTCCTTGGAAAGTCAAAACTATGAGTGCATTTTGTTATATAAACCAATAATTGCTCGTGACTGAAACTGATCACTTCATACCAGATACTAAAAGCAGATAATCATGAGCACTGAGGTGCCTAATTCTCTTCCTGGAATATTTCTTATTTCTCTTCAGATTTCTGCCATTGATGTTCCTCTGTCAGTTACACTTACATTAAGCAGCAGGATTTCTTCTTACACAAACATAAAGACATTTTTTGCAAGACTTTAACTGTTTAAGTGTAGCTGGGCAACATCAAGGATGTCTTTGCCTATTTGAATTCTGCAGAAGTTCTCAGGTCTTATCAAACTGGCACCTTCCCAGATTTTTGGCAGAAAAAGTAGTATCTTTCCAACTTTTTAAATAAGCTTGAAATATAAATAAATAAATAAATAAATAATAAAAAGTAAAAAAGAGAAAGAAGGAACCACCATTCAGCAGATGGACATACAGGTGGGAGTGGCTGACAGACCAGGGGGTTGTATTGCCACTCAGATGGGCTGAAGAAATGGGCAGGTTAAAACCTCATTAAGGTCAACAAAGAGAAGTGCAAAGTCCTGCATCACAACACGGTGCATTACCACATGCTGGAGACCTGCTGGAAATCAACCCTGCGAGTTGCACAAGGAGCCAGCAAGGGGCCCCTTGCAGCAGAGGAGGTTCACAGAGCCCTGAGACACATCAGGAAGAGCCTTGCCAACAGGTCAAGGGAGGTAATCCTGCCCTCAGGACCACTGAGGCTCCATCTGGAATTCTGTTTTAGGCTCCCCAGTACCAGAGATGAAGCTACTGGAGAGAGTAGTAATTAAGTGAAGAGCGATTAAGAGGACTTGAAACACCTCTCCTGTGAAGGCAGGCTGAAAGAGCTACAGCTGTTCAGCCTGGAGAAGAGGCTTGCTCAGGAGGGATCTTATCAAAGGGTATAAATATTGGAAAGGTAGGGTACAAAGAGGACAGAGTAGGGCTCTTTTCAGCGGTGCCCCATACCAGAACAAGAGGCACTGGACACGCACTGAAACACAGGAGGGTCCATTTGAACGTGAAGATTTTTTATTTTATTTTATACTGTGATGGGACCCAGCACTACTTGTCCAGAAAGACTGTGGAGTCTCTGTCCCTTGGATATTCAAGAGCTATCTGGACATGGTTCTGGACAACCAGTTCTAGGTGATCTTGGCTTGAGTGGTGGGGCAGCTGGATAAGATGACCTCCAGAGGTTCCTTCCAGCCTCAACCATTCTGGGACTGTTGGCATAACAGCAAAATAAAACAAAAATCCTGTATTATTTTAGCAAGGGGACACTTGGCATTCAAGGACCTTGAGTCCTGCAATCAGGGAGAAGAAAACAAGTGCTACACACAGAGCAGAATAGAAAAAAGAAGCAATTGCACAAAGTGCCTTACAAACAGCATGCTTTTCTTCTTTAATCTTCCTTTTACATATTTATGTACCAGGCATAACATTTCAGGAAAGAATACATGGAGAGCTGGAAGAACGCCTTCAAAGGCATGGAAAGAATGACAAAGTTTAGAATTTCAATGCTGGGTTCAGAAGAAAAAAAAAACAAAACATCAATACAGAGAAAGAATAAAGTTCTCAGTCAAGTCGTGCAAAGTTCATTATCCCCTTAAAAAAGTCCCTTGGGATGGCCTGAGTGCAACACAAAGCATCCAAACTCCAGCAGTCAGTATCTGTAGCATCCCATTTACAGTGGAGCCTTCACGTAGAATACAATTCCCAGTTTATCATTAGTGCTGCTCACGTTGAGCATAAATACAAAACCTTTCTCAAAAACAGAGCTTTAACTGTATAGCTACCACAGATTCTTCCTGAAATTTGATTTTTTTTAAGTAGGTCTACTTCAAAAAAATAAGGCCTGAACAAGAAATCTTCGGCATAAACAATTCAATTGCTTTAAAAGAACAGCACACCTTGGAAGTCAAATTGGGAACAGATGTTTAAGTGGAACAAGTTCTCTGCAACTGACAAAAGAATACCCTTAGTTTGGAGAATAAAAGCAACTGAATTTTGCAGTAGGATTTGTACATTTGTAGATTTTACATGAACTTACTGTTGCATGTATATAGCTAGAGGAAAGGAAAACAGCGACTGGCCCTATCAAATCAAGAGCCTGTGTTCAATAACAAAGCTGATGTGACTTCAGTAAGGCATTTTCACAGTTTGCTACAAGTACAGCAGATTTAGTCACTGAAGTATAGGCTGTACAGCAGTATCCAGCGCCAATGCAGTAACTCAGTCAAATCTGCTCTTATGTGAGTGCCTCCATACCACTGCCTGACACAGCCTATCCTCTAGCATTAGGGCAGAAGTTTGGTAGGGCAGGCAGCTAACCAGAGGATGCCAAAGACACTTTTACTCACAAGCATCTGGTGCTCCTGTGATGCACAGCTGAACAAAGCTCAAACCAACACGTAAAGAATCCAGTTTGACAGAAATCCAAACAAAGATCAAAGTTGTCTGAATATACATGCATTAAAGTTTCCAAAAAGGTCACTACGCCTCCCAAAGGAAACTGTTTTTGATCTATAATTATCTTCAGTAAACAGCATCAAATATACAGCCGAAACATTTAATCGTGACCAAAAAGACATTTGTTTGTTGAATATTTTACTAGCTAATGCCACTTTCTTGCAGTGTAGATTAGAGTTCTGCAAAAATGTAACAAGATTGCTCAGAAAGAGTATAGGGCTTATTCATAAACCATGTGATATTTTGCAAGTAGCTGACTTCTGAACTTGCTGTAAAGATTAACCAACAGTGTTATTCACTTAAGAATCTCTATTTCTAACTAGCTTCCTTGCATACCAATTTTCAGTAATAAAAAATCATGCTTGAGGCTGCTGCCCAAGTCTTACCAACAACTCACTTACCTTACAGTGATTAAGCATACTCTAACAGGTCTACAGACACAAAATCATTAAGAGAAATCTGAGGAGTAAAGCCAAGCCATGCCTTTGCAATAAACAGTCACGAGGATTAAAGTCACTCAATAGGGCATCTCAGGTGAACCTGGTGACTACAGCATAGAAATAAAATAAACCAAGCAATCACTCCCCTTTAAAATTTGCATTAAATGACGATCGATTGAATGCGATGTTAATCTATAAGTTAAACTGGCAGGCTCTCTCATGCCTTGTTAGTTGTGACTGAAACAAGCTAAAATCAGTTTAAGTCTCCTAGAAGCTGAAGGTGATATTTATTTATGCATGAGTTCTCTCAAAGTTCCCAAAATACGACTACTAGGCCAATGTGTGAAGTGGCTTAACCAAAGTATCAAAGAGAAAGGAGCTTTTCCCTCACTACCCATTACGAAAGTTTTGCAGGGTGGCTTTTGGTGGTTGTGGGTGTTTTTTGTTTTTTTGTTATTGCTAATCATTGGCTCTGATCGCTCTCATCCTCACTTATGGCTGAGGTCCACTTACACTGCAATGTTTTAAAGAATTACTTACATGTAAAAATGAACAAATGCTGTGATTTAACCCTAGCAGAAGACCTGAGTACACATGCTTCTACAGGTACAGCAACACTGCAAACCTCACCCACAGCACACTGAAATCAGAACACTTCAGCAGTACTGCCCCACTGACCAAGCTATCAGTTTGTGACCTGTCCAGCATTTTCCAAGATCACTTCTGGGTATAGATTAGCTACCCTCTGCAGGCAACTTCTTTGGAATCTTGGCCCAATTTCTTTATCCCCTTCCCAAGAAGGAAACTGGAATGACAGGCATATGTGAAAGGATAAGATAACAACAAAACACCCACAGACAAACAAACAGACCAACGAATGAAATGTGAACATACCTGAACAGCTCTGTCTGCTTCAAAAAAGGACTTGAAACCTGCTTGTCACACAGAAGTCTTCTGCCCCACAGGCTCACCACAGCTGGACTCTTGGGTAGGTCAGGACACGCTCAGAGCCAGATTCATTCCAATGCTGTCAGCTGCTAATATCCATTAAGCTACAGCAATGGCAAACAGTTAACTGCAGCTCTGAAACAGAAAGTCAAGAAAAACAGTTTGAACTTTGAGTCACACGCAGCTTTCAATGGCTCAGGACTGGATCAGACTGGAACCATTTAGGGAGAACTGATGCCAAAGGAGAAAACTGTCACAAACAGCAGCTTTGATACAGTGGTTTTTACTACACTGTATGAATACACTGGCCTGATCTGTCTGCATGTAACAGGTCCAAGATGGCAAAGAACCGTGGGATGAACAAAGTTCATCCACTACTCTGCTACCCTCCCGGTTATTTCTGGGGGATTAAATTAGTGGTTGCTGGCTAGCTGCAGTAAGAGAGGTGATCTTGGGTGCCTGACTCCAAGGTTAGTTTCATCCTGCAGGTTAAGACAAGTAAATGCAGGTGTTTGCTTATGGGCTTTAATCTCCCATTACAGTCAAACCAGATACTATCAAGATGTTTTGGAGACATGTTCACAGAACAGATTGCTTTCACTGACACCTCCAGGAGAAAGACCACAGATAGTAAGCTGGCTTCTCACCTAGCAAACAGCCAGGCAAAGAAGGGAAAGTATAGCAAACAACGCGCTAATTACCAGGCTAATCCCTACAGCTTATGGATCATATGGCCTGTCTCCTCCTCCTGAATAGCATGCTGCTATACAACATGGTTCTGTAACGTACACTCCATCAAAAACAACTACAACAAAAACCCCACTGCTACACTCCACAACTGTAATCAAAACTGAAACTCTTATAGTTGTCATTATTTACAACATTTTCATTATAGGTTTGCACATACTGCACTGTTCCTAGGTATTTTAGATAATTCTAGTCTCCACTGCAATATGTTACACAGTACACATTCCAGCAAGCCACCTCTTCTGACCTTCTCAAAATTCACAATAATCTTGCTGAGTAAGAGATAAGCACACACACACACAAAAAAAAACAACAAACAACACTGAACAGCTACTGTACTACGCAGAAACCTCACTCCCCCCTCAAAACCCTAAGCACTAGGATCTGGTTACTTTAAATACTGCTATAAAAGCCATCACTTAGGCATTTAATTACAGTAGTTGTCTCCCTTCTTTATCCCTTTGCACTAATTAGCTTCTAAGCTCATGCAGTGAAGAATTATGTTTATGCCCTCTGTGGTAACAAACGTTTCTAGAACTGCAGGCCTTTCAGCAGCCCTACACGATGTCCATCTTCCAGCGTCTCTGAAGTCCTAAAACATGACCACAATGTCAGGTGACCAAGGACAAAATGAAGGAATTACTATCACAGTAGTTCAATGATTATTTACTGTGTAAGGATGAAAGTCTGGAATACCGAAGAGCCACATCTAAACATTTTCCTAATATTTAAGCCAACCATTCAAAATAAAGCTAATCCAGACACAGGAAAGAGGGATGCTTTCCAGCCATATAGCTTGTCTTTCTGGAGTTTGGGACTATGATACAGCACAGTGCAGGGCAAAGTCAGTATCTTCAGAATATTAAAAAAAGTTAATATTAATAAAAAAAAGAAAGAGAGAAAAGTGTATTTCCCTTAAATAAAAGCTTCCACTTAGGTCACTTTTTACGCAAGACTTTCCAGAACCGGCCCCGCACCACGCCGGGGATGCAGCGCTCCGGCCACCCCTGCGTGCAGCCAACGCGCACACCCCTCCGCCACGCACGCACCAGCCCTCCAGCCGCTCCACGCGCTGCCGGCTCGATCCAGTTCCCCTTAATCCGGTTCCGTTTGATCCGGTTCCCCTCGATCCGATTTGTCCCGCCGCGCTCCGCTCCCCGCCGCAGGGCGCCCGGAGCCCGCACCCTGACCACGCCCCCTGTGGGCGGGGCCAAACCCCGTAACCACGCCCCCGCCCCCAGGCCACGCCCCCCGCCCACGTGACCGCTGCCGGGAAGTGGGTGAAAGGTCGCGGCGCCGAGCCCGAGCCAAGGGCTGCCCCGGAGGCAGCGCCCTCAGCTCATCACGCCTCAGCTGCGGGATGTCGCGGGGCTTTTTTAACCCAGGGAGCAGCCTTTCCTTGCGGCAGGATGCTCTGATCGAGGCTGTGGCACCCCCAGCATATCCCCGAGCTCCCAGCAGGTCACGGCTCTATCAGGAGCCTTGTTTCTGTGTGAGCAGGTGAAGCTGCGCTCCTGCGTTAATTAATGGAGAGCCGCGTCACTCACCTGCAGCATCACAGCTCGGTAATTATTAGCTGTATCAACGAACCAAGAGCACGTTCCCGGTGCCGACTGTACAACTCGCGTTGGGCAGAGGACACCCGACCGCGTTAGCCGAGCGCGTGGATCCAGAAGCTGAGGGGGGCAGGCAGGAAAACAGAATTGAGAAACCCAGCACAAAACATCGTCCCCAGCCCCGCTGCTGCACTCCGACACACGTGATAAGGAAATGAGTAGTCCCCCGTACAGTAATTTCCTCTACGCTGCGGAGTTTCAACACAATCGCCCTTCAGGCGCGGACAAACTGCCAGGTGAGAGGCGCAAGGGGCCGCTTCTCCCCATCCCGCTTTGCACTTTTTCCTTCCACCCCCAAAAAAATGCACCTGGCGCTGCAGCTCCGCCACCCGCACCACAGCTATAACAAACAACCAAAGTCACGCCTAACGCTGCTTTTTCCCATTGAAAACCCAAGACGCGGCACAAAACCTTCAAAACGCGGCGAGCAAGCGGGGAGCAGCAGCTGCTGCTAGCCCTGAGCTCTCCCTGCCGCAACGAGCCCAAGCACACCTCAAAACCCACTTTTTTACGGCGACTGCGCTATTTTCCTGCAAGTTTCACAGCTTTTAGCCCCGGCGGCACGCAACAGCTCGGCAGCAGGGATAAAATCCCTGGGGGGGTCGCTTCTGGAGCCCAAACCAGGGCGCAGCAGCCCCACAGGCTCCCCCCCGCCCCACAGCCCCGTCCCCACCGCCGCCTCCCGCCCCGGGGACACCTGACGGGGCACGCCGGCGGCTCAGCCCCGCTCCGGGAGGCTCCCCCGGCCCGGCCGGCCGCCACCCACCTGCTGAGGGCCGCCGCCGCCGCTCAGCGGCTCCACCAGGGGCGGCCCGGAGCCGGCCGAGCGCAGGAGACCGGCGGCGGAGCGAGGAGGGCGGCGAGGGAGGGAGGGAGCGGGGAGGGCGGCGGCCGCTCCCCTCACACGCCCCGCCGGAGCCGCGCTTGCCGCCCGCCCCGCCATTGGCTGCCGGTGGGGAAAGGGGCGGGGATTCGTCGGCGGGGCGGAGGAGCGGGAAGGGAGGAGGGCGCTGATAGGTCAGCGGTGGGGGGTGCTGGGGTGTGATTGGCGGGCAGCGCCCAGGGGGCGGGGCTTGAAGGGGGGGAGTTATGGCGGCCTGAGGGGAGTTGGGGGGGGGGGGGGGATGGAGCTGAGGCGGGATGGGGCAGTGGGGGTGAAGGGGAGCGGTGTCAGGGGGCTCACAGGGCTCCTGGGGCATGGAGGCGGCCGCTCCCGGGCGATAAAACCCCAGGGGATTGCGAGGAGAGGCAGTGGGGGTGTAGAGTTGTTGGGATGCGGGTGTAGATTGGGGTAAGGTAGCACATGGGGGACCTGCCTGTGGTGCCAAGATGGGCTCCCTGCGAGGGCACACTGAATGCAGGGGGCTGAAGGAGGTGCGCTCGGTGCTTCCCAAAAGTAACTGCAGGCTTCCAAAAATGCAAAATCATGGAAGCAATCTACATGAAAGCGTCAGTCCCAGAGCATGCAAAAGTTGAAATTATTAAATTTTATGCTTGCAATGGGCCAGTTCGCTTTTGGCTGTCAAGATCTTGGTGCTTGAATATCTCTGAGGCGCCTTCTGACTTCAGTATGACAGGTGCAGGAAGTCTCTATCCTTTCTGAAATGACGTCAGACTACGGTGGTGTCGACACGAAGGTTCTGAACTAGGACAATTTGGGATTCATAATCTTTCCCTTGTGGGCAGATCCACCCAACCCCACAGTCCTGCCAGCTGGAATTTCCAGGATGTGTCTGAAGGCTCCAAAGCACACAAACATATGATGAAATCCAGAAGCATGGACACTACAGACTGAGCCTCTCCCACATCCTTAAGATCATGCAACGTCAATAAAATGAAACACTACTGGTCAGAATTTTCACCTCCAGTGTTCCATGCCTAATGATGTGATTTTAAGATGTTACTACCCCAGGAAGAAGCATAAAGCCCAGAAGAAAACAAGGAGAAGAGGCTTAGGTCTATTAGTATTAGTAAGAGTGGAGGAAAAAAAAAAAAAAAAAAGTAAATCACCACAAACCCATTTATGCCCCCAAGTTCAGCAGCATCCATGCTTACATATATTTAGCCATAACAGGTATGGCTAAATAATGTATAATGTAACTTGAAGAGTTAGAAGAAGGTAATTAATAACTTTTCTGTTTGGTGTATTTGTTCTACAAGGAGATTAAAATAAAAAATCATCTGCATATTTTTCATTATGCACAAAGACAACCTAAAATGTCTTGATGTTTGTTGTTGAATGTTTTTTCTTCCAGGGTGCTTTTTACCTTTGAAATATTAAACAAGCAAAAACCACACATTTACACCAACGCAAGTCTGCTTTCTCTCACTTCTACCAGGAGTTTCCTCATATCTTTGTCCCCAGCCAACCTATTCATCTACACGGTAATCAGGAAGGAATCGGTCAGCTGGGAACAGTTGTTGGTGTTGTTTATTTTCTTCTCATGAATTAGGGAACACCCAGATAAACTTGTGATTCTAAGCCCCCTGCAACTAACCTCCATAAGGACATGAAAAGCATTGCATTACATGAGGTTGTGTGATTGTGTCTTAGCCAAACTTGACTTGGCTCTGTTTTGCTGGCAGATGTAAACATAACATTGCAGATAGTCCTGTGACTAGTTGCCAGTGGTCCTGCCACTATCACCTAGGTCAGGCTCTATTCACCCATTAACCCAGGTGAAACAAGTCAAATACTTCCTGGAGTAAGATCATCCTAATCAGAACATGGACCATCTTTTACTGTGGCTACTGCTCCATTCCCTCTGCTAAGAACGCTTTCTCTTCATCTAGAGACATAAGGTGATTCTGCTTCTCATGACTGCAAGCCTGCACTGTGGCCTGGAATTCTAACCTTTCACTGCCCAGCAAAGATAAGTCATTTTTTTTTTTCCACCATAATTCACATACCAAATTCAAAAAAAAAAAAAAAAGCACAGACCATATCATCAGCACAGACCATATGTGCTTGGTACTATAAGACCTCCTAGTAATTAATTCTGATTCTTACAATCCAAAGAAATCAAAATAATCAATGACAAGTGATATTTATCTCTACCTAGTGCAGACTGAAATAGTTTAAGTGTAGCATTGTAGATATGTACCTCTTGAATTAAATCCTTCTGGTCAGCTTACCCCAGTTCTTCAAGATTTCTTCGCTTCTGTACATGCAACATGGCTTCTTTGCAGCAGCTTTTCTTCTCCAGTACTGCTCATTATTTTTGCTTTTGTCTATTTTTGACAGATTTTAATGATGTCACATCACTAAACCTTAAGCCTGGATCATGTTTGGAAGTTTGTTATCCTCAGTGGAAACTCATTATCCTCAACATGATTTTGCATTGTTCTCTTTTGATCTTTTTATTACTATTACATTGATTCAGTTTCTGAAATAGCTCAAGTCAAGCATTTTTAATATAGACAACCAACTGTCTTGAATTGTGTTGAAACTGATTTATTCTGCTTATTGAAATTGAATTGTTCAAGATTTTCAGCACACAATTGTTGGACGTAGTCTTAGTTGCTTCACCAGATATTGTCCCAGTTTGCTTGCTAATCAGACAGTTTCATTTTAAGCATCACCAAGACATTTTATTTTATTTTCCTTTGTATTATCTCCTGTGATATCTGAACATGAGGGTTTCCGTTTCATAATTAGGACACACAGCCACTGGTAACCCAGCATCCCTCAGCAATTTATCACTGATAATTTGAGTGGCAAAACACATCAGTAGTAAGTGAATTGAAGAACAGCCCCAAAATACACCTTTCGTAGACAGCTAAGTGCATGCATGTTTGTATGCCAGGAGTCAAGGGTGAGAGCAAGGCAGGCAAGGCAGTGCCCTCCCTGACAAGGGCACCATCCCATGGCACCTGAGCAAGGGGAGCAGAACAGGTCCAGTGACAGTAAACAGGGTCAGCTGGATCATTTGACACGTCTGCAGCAATGAGGAAGTCCAAGGTTGTCAAGCTGGAAAACTGAGTCAGGGTCAGGGTCCAGATCAACAGGGAGTGTGGCCAGGTAGGGGACTGGCTGCAAGGCCAGGGCATCAAGGACAAAAGCCTCAGCTGACAAGCTCCTTCCAAGTGAAGCAGGGAGCCCTGCTGAGGCCCTTAGATCCTCCCCTAACAGCTCTTATCAAGGCTAGAAAGCTGCACCCTGTATCTGAGGCCTTGCACCCAAAAGCCACGGAGGCGTTGAGGAGCCTGCTCAGGGTCCTGACAGTATACACACATACACATGTGCACACTCACAGAATAGATGCATTTATCTGTAGGAAAAGCGGAGATCTTTACAAAACCAAATAGCCAAAAGGTACAGGATTTTATGTCAAAAAACAAATTTATGTCAAAAATCAAAAAAGAACCATTGCAAAACTGCATTCACCAGTCAGCACATATACTGACTGGTGAAAATCCCTGAATGATTTTGCCTGCCAGAAATAATACCCATGCATTGCCACATCCTTCTTTTCTTATATGTTTCAGCCCACTCCTGACTCCCAGGCCCTTACTGCTATGAGTCAACCATCTTAGCCACCGTTGTTAATACTGACTAACGCCAAAATGTACCAGCAGAGTAATAGAAAGGAAGACTTTGATCTGGCTTGTTTTTTTCTTCATTCTTAAATACTGTCTCATGAGGATATAGAAGCAGTCCAATTGATATTTAAACAGAAAAGAGTGAGTTGTCATGTCTTACCCTGCCTTTTTTTTAAAAAAACAAAAACAGATAAAATGGTCACTACTGACATGGCTTGACTGCATTGTCAACAGGGATATCAGCCTATCCTGTGACATTCAGACCTAGCAGAATGCATGCTGTGTGTATCTGTGACTTCAACAGCAGAAAGAAGTTCTAAGAAAATAAATATGCTCTTATTCTCTTAAACATTACCACTGTTTGAACTGAACTTCTAGTATATTAATTCTTCTGGAGTGGGATGAGCATTCTGATTTTACAGTCATTCAAACTGTGAAATGGTTGCTCAGAACACGTGACAGGTTTTGTTTAGAGTACCTTTCCAGTAACTACTCTAAACCCCTGGTTTAGGCTGTCAAACTAGGCTTTAGGGCATCTTTGGAAAGTCAACACTCACAGATGCCACTCAACTAGTAAGCGCAATACAGTGTTGCTTTAGAAATTTCATAATGATAACTTCAGGTGGTGAAAACACACCTAATTTCCCCAGATTTGACCCAAGAATTCTCCATGGCCAGGGTTATGCTCCCAGTGCCTGGACTTACTGTTTTGTACATACGAGATATTCCTACCTTTTGCAACATGACCTCCGAAGATATGACCTGGATCAAGTGAACAGAAAAACTAATCAATACCCACTGAGAAGTGTATAAATATAAGCCTAACGTGTTGCTGACTGAATTGTCCTTAAACTTAGCAGGTCAGTTACAGAAGTTTTACAGAAAGGGTTAAATTTATGATCAAATAATGATGATAGAATCCACTGAGATTTTTTTTTTTAAAGTGCCTGAACATATTTGAGAAAAAGTCCAAAAGGAATTGTGGCATCTGCATGCTTAAAATACCACATTCCAAGCACTGCACTGCTTCTCTAATATATTTTTAATACATATTGAACAGTAAGAGCAAAATGAACAGCACTGCAGTGCCATACAGATGAGACTGTCCTTTTGGACAAGCTCATAGGTGTTCCTCTGCTCAGAAAGATATGTAAAGAGCCTATTTGGAAGGAATTGACAGCACCTGTTAGATCTGCCACAGCACAGAAATTTTTAAATTATCTGTTTTTCATAACTCTCCTGATGTTTCAGTTCTTTTCCCTGAATTTGAGTATTTGTCCTTCACAGTCACATTGGGTGAGGAATATGGATCACCTGATATCATCTTTGATGTGAGAAAATGGATAGCATCCCAGGTATAAAGGGCATTACTTACAGCATGTGCCTAAGGTTATGTTGACAGTAGCAAAATGGAGCCTGGCCAAGTTTTGAAAGGGAAGCATGTAGGCAGGCATTTTCTAAAGTAAGGGAAAAGTCAAAAGTACAATACCAAAGGTCCATGTATATTAATTAGAAAAAGCTTTAGTGAATGTTGCAACCTAATAGTGGTTGTGTTTGGGACACTCCCTAAATTCTGCAAAATTCTGAGAAAGAAAATCATCTGGCCTGAAAATACATACCATTATTTCTAGCAAAATTAGAGGTTTATTTAGAGGTTATTTGGAATTTTATTTTGAAGTTTATTTGTTCAAATTGAAGAATCTGGCAGGGACTTTTGGGAAGACATCATGTCCACTTGTAAAACATTTCAAGTAATCCACTGTCAGTAGAAAATCTGTCTCTCGGACTAACATTCTCCCACAAATTAATCGCATAATTTCCTTTAACAGTTTCAAATACTAGGCATACCTTGAGGGGTTTGTACTGCAGATTTTTGGGGCTCATAGGGTAAGAGATACTGTATGTACTATTTTCTACTTGTTTGCCCCCCCCCCCATAGGTCTGGGAGGACACTGGCATTGCCAAGTATCTGTGAATATTTGCTTCATTTCTAGTATACCAGTTATATGCCTTACAGTAATTCCCAGACTGTGTCCAGAGACTGAAGGAGATTGATCTGCTGTTTAGAGACCAGGCCGAAATCAAAGGAAGTGAGTTCAATTCCTTGCTGCACTTTGGACTTTAGGGACAAAGCACATCAGCTCAGTTCCTCAATGTTATTCATTGTTCAAGGTAAGCAGAGCCCGTGGGAACACCATGCAAAAAAACAATAATAATAATAATAATCTGTGCAGCTGAGGAGCAGGGAAGAGAGAATCCTTTATTTCCCATGATCATGCCATTTTAGACAGGATAAAAAAATGCAGACTACTTGCCTCCAGCTGAATGGATTAGATTATTCTTTCACTTTGTTCATAGCTTTTGGAAAAAAAATAAAATAAATGCATTTCAACACTCACTAGACCACTATTGCTTATGTAGCGTGGCTATATCAGTCTAAGTCTTTTCCCTTTAAATGCTTGCAGTTCATCCATAGGCAACTGAAGCATGTCCACAATTCCTCATGTCATTTTCCTTATGAATTATCATGCCTACTCAGGTATGTCTTTAACGACCAGTAGAGCTTTGTGAGAACACATTTTATCATTCTGCCCGTTGCTTTGTGATTGTATTGCTCTACATTTCAGAATACCTCCCAGAAAATAAAGGAAATGTGGACCAGGGAC